ACATAAGCTTTTATCTGAAGGCCATGGTACAATGGGTATTTTGTGGTGAGCACATCTGTATGCAGCAGAGTTGCTTTTGTTCATATGATTTAGCTGAGTTCAGTGGCATGAACAGAATGACTGCAACTTTATTGAACAAAACGGCTGCAGTCGGGCCAAGGTTTTTGCTTCACTGCCATCCTAAGTTACTAGTCTGTTTTTCCTCCAGTGAGAATGTAAGCTCCACAATGAAAGAGAGTTTTGTTGTTGTTCACTGATGTATTGCTAGGCGAACGTGATAACCACTACACAACGGAAACCATTTCACTGATATATTGTTGACACCTAAAACAATTCCTAGTATATGGATGAACCTGAATAAAAATTTTCAAAGAATTACCAGAAAACATAAAAAGAACACTTTGCTGAGGAATAATTAATATAAACTAGTGTTTTGGGTTTTTGTTTGTTTTGCAGTACTAAGGATTGAAGCCAGGGACTTGTGCATGCTAAGCACTCACTTGACCACTGAGCTTGTCCCTGGCCCATTTAAAACTTTGAAACAGTGTTTTTCTAAGTTGCCAAGGCTGGCCTTGAACTTGTTATCCTTCTGCCCTCAGTCTCCCAAGTAGCTGGGATTATACACATGTACCGCCATGCCCAGAAAAATCTAGCTTTTAATATTTAAATATTTTTACTGATATTAAAGAGACTTTAAATAAAAAAGATAAAGAAGGTCACTATATAATGATAGAGGGATCAATTCAACAAGATGAAATAACAACTGTAAATCTATACATGCACTAAGAAAATCAAACAGACCAATACAAGTAATGAGATTGAATCAGTACTAAAAAGTCTCCCCCAAAAAGAAGTCCCAGACCTGGATAATTTCACTCCTAAATTTTATCAAACTTTTGAAGAACTAGTTTGAGAAGAATAGTTCTCAAACTATTCCAAATTATTGAAAGAAACTAACCCTTCCAAACTCATTCTCAGAAGCCCACATTTCCTTGATACCAAAACCAGACAAGGACACAACAAAAAAGAAAACACTATAGCTCAATATTCTTGATGAAAATAAATTCAAAAATTCACAACAGGATCAGGCATGGTGGCACACATCTGTAATCCCAGCACTCTAAGAAGCCAAGAAAAAAACACACACTTGAGCCCTGCCTGGGCAACTTAGTGACTTAGTGAGACCCTGTCTCAAAATAAAAATTAAAAAGTAGCTGGGCGTGTAGCTCAGTGTGAAGGCTTTCAGTTCAATCTCCACTATTCCCCACCCTGAACACATACCATAAAAGTAGCAAACTGAATCTAAAAAGATGCAACTAATCACAGGGAACTAATCACAGGGATGCAAGGATGGAAATCACTAAATGTTAAAATATCAACCTATGCAAATCACTAAATGTTAAAATATCACATCAACAGAATGAAGGATTAAAATGATGATGACAACCAACACAGAAAAGTTGTTTAATAAAATTCAATATCTTTCATTTTAAAAACCCTCAAAAATTAGGTGTACACCTTAAGGGCTACATATGAGAAGCTCACAGCTTGTATGGTAGTGAATGGGGAAAAGAATCATTTCCTCTAAGATCAGGAATAAGATAAGGATGTCCACTTTCACCAGTCTTATCCAAGTAGCATTGGAAGTCTTAGCCAATTACAAGTCAAGAGAAAGAAATAAAAGGAATCCAAATGGAAAGGAGGAGGTTAGATTATCCCTGTTTGCAGATGGCATGATTCTTTATATAGAAAAACCTGAAGACTCCTCCAAAAAACTGTTACAACTGATAAATGAATTGCAGGACACAAAATCAAGATCAGTAGCTTTTTTAAAATACACAAAACCGTAACAAAACCACTAAGGAAAGAATCAGTATCTAGAAAAAATTTTAACCAAGGAAGTGACTTATCTCTACTATGAAAATTACAAAACGCTGATTTAAGAAATTGAAGAGAACACATGGAAATAGAAAGATATGCCATGTTCACTGATTGAAAGAATATTAACAAAATGTCCATACTACCCTAACTGACTTACAAATTCAGTGTAGTTCCTACCAAAATACCAATGATACTCTTCACAGAAAAAGAAAGAACACCTCTAAACTTTGTATGTAACCACAAATTACCCCAAATATCCAAATCATTTTTCAGAAAAAAAAAAAAAAAAAAAAAAAAGGCCAGAGGCATTATGAGATCTGACTTGAAAGCATACTACAAAGTGACAGTAAGCCAAACAGTATGGTGTAAGAACAGTCATGTAGACCAATAGAACACAATACAGAACCTAGAAATAAATCCATATGTTTATAGGCAACTGATTTTTTACACAGGAAGAAAGGACTTACATTGGACAAAGGAAAGTCTCTTCAATAAATGACACTAGGGAAACTGGGGATTCATAGGCTGAGGAAAGAAATTAGATCTCTATCTCTCATCATGTACAAAAATCAACTTAAAATTGATGAAAGGGTAAAGATCTAAGACAACTAGAAGAAAACACAGAGAAATGTTTCAGGACATTGGTTTCAGAAAAAAAATTTTTTTGAATCTGACTACAAAAAAACAAAGTGACAAGTGGGGTTATATCAAACTAAAAAGTTTTTGTATAGCAAAGGAAACAACTGAGCAAAGAGATAACCTCCAGAATGAGAGAGAAATTTGAATATCATTCATCTGAGAAGTTATTAATTTCCAGAACATATAAGGAACTGAAGTCAGTAAATGACAGATAACCCAATTAAAAGTGAGTGAATAGCTTGAATAGACATTTCTTAAAAGAGGGTATACAAATGGGCAACAGTATTTGAAAAAATGTTCATCACAGATCATCAAGAAAAAACAAACCAAAATCATGAGGAAATGTCATTTCACCACAGTTAAATGGCTGTTTTCAGAAAGACAAAAGTAAGAACGCTGGTTAGGATGCAAACCAAGTAAGGGAATTCTCATACACAGCTGGTAGAAATGTAAATTAGTACAGTATAATGATCACTTTAAACACTAGGAGTAGAAGTATATTATCCAGCAGCTTCACTACTTCATGTATATCTGAAGGAGCTGAAATTAGTATGCCAAAGAAATATTTGCACTTACATATTTATTGCAGCACTCTACTCATAATAGGTAAGATACAGAATCAACCTGCGGGCCATCAATAGAAAAATGGATAAAGACAATGTGGTATACATATACAATAGGATATTATTCAGCCATAGAAAAGAATGAAATTCTGTAATTTGCAGCAATGTGGATGGAATGAAAGGACATTATGCTAAATAAGTCAGGCATGAATAGACAAATACTATATATTCTCACTTATATCTGTAAGTTAAATTGATCTCAAAAAAATAGAGCAGAATAGTGGTTACTAGTGCCTAGGAAGGGATTGCAGAAGAGAGGGATGGAAAAAGAATGCTTAATTGGTGCAGTTAGTTAGCAGGAAACTTCTAATGTCCTATATAGCACAGTAGAATAACCATGGATGATAACTATTAGAATTTTGAACTTTTTCAGCTAGAAGAAATTATACACGTCTGAAGTGATAGAAAGTCCAGTTACTCTGATCTGCTCATTACACACTGCAGATGTGTGGAAATGTCACACTATGTATAATTACTGTGTCAATTAAAAATAAAAATTATTTTTTAAAAAATGTTAGTTTTCAGATATTAGGGACCTTTCCAGATATATCTTCTTGGAATTGGGTGGAGACTCACAGCCTTGCCCACACTCTACCACTGAGCTATACCTCAGCCCCAATTTCCCAGGTATCTTTATTATTGGTTTCTAATCTAATTTCATATTACCAAAGAACATCCTTTGCATGACCCAAATCTCTATGTTATTGTGACTATTTTTATGCCCAGGATATGATCTCTTTTGGTATATTTTCTTTTTTTTTTTTAAAGCAATACTGGATATTGAATTCGGGGCCTTCACACTGACCTACATCCACAACCATTTCAATTAACTAATTAGCCTTTTTTAAAGTTTTAAGACAGGGCTGCACTAAGTTGCCCAAGGTGGACTTGAACTTGTGATTCTCCTACCTCAGTCTCTTAGTCCATATATACTTGAAAACAATATATTCTGTTATTGGATAGAGTGTTCTGTAAATACCAGGTCACTAATGAAATGGTCTTTGTTATTTCTCATAATATTGCTCTGAAATCTACTTGGTATGATATCAATAACAACTCTGACTTTCTTTTACTGGTGTCAATATAATATATGTTTTTCTTTTATCTTCTTTTTTGGCAGTGCTAGGGACTGACACCAAGATTGCTAGATGAGTGCTTTATCACTAAGCTATATTCCAGCTTGTTTTTTATTTGGGAACAGGGTCTTGCTGAGCTGCCCAGGCTGACCTTGAACTTGTGGTCGCCCTGGCTCCTGAATAAATGGAAAAACAAGTGTGTGTCACATCCTTTTATTTTTAATCTGTTTGTGTCTTTACAGCTAAAATAGCTTCTGATAGGCAGTATCTAGTTAAACTTGGACTTACCTCCTTAGATTCTCAGATTTTTATTTGGACCCATTCCTTACTATGTCATTAACCCTTAAATGATTTTAGTAAGTTTCTTGTTGTATTTTAACTTTTAAAGTTTGTCTTAAGCAGGAGGTTAGGTCTCGATTCCTTTGCTCTCCATTACTAGCTTTTTCATCAGTAAATTAGTAAAAAAGTATTTACTGAGCACCTAGGATGCAATAGACATATTTTTGGTATTGGTATTATAGTAGGAAGCAAGTCAAAGTTCCTCCTAAGAAACTCACATACTAGTAGAGGAAAGTGTTCATTTTTCTATTTGCTTGGAAGCAGTTTGTATAAAATCTATAATCTTGAAGTCAGTATTAGTCCCTCCCTTCTGAGAGCTTCCTTGGTAAGCCTTGGCTTCACATAATGATCTCTTTGTATGCTTGGCAGAACTGGAAAACCATCCCATCCATATCTTTGCACAAAATCTTGGGGCTGGAAGCCTAGAAGAATGAGACAGGGGTCAGGTGGAAGCAGTTTTAACACTGAAGAAATAACCATGAGTTCACCATAGTGCAAACAAAAATTGGGCAACTTGACACTTGAAGAATCTGTGCTTGTCTTTTCTGTCCCCCACAGACATTCAGGAAACAGCACCTGAGGAGAAATAGTCATGGAAAGCTCTTGAACTCTTGCCACCTTCCAGTCAGCCTAGATTAGGACACTTACATACCCCAACTCCCTCCGTGTCACAGCAGTCCTCAAAGTGAAGGCCCTTAACCCACCTGCTCCCTCCAAAGGGGACATTTCCATACAGAGGTGTCTCAAGAAGAAAATCAAATCATCTGTGCCCCAAAGGAAGATGTCAGTGTCAAAGTGCACCAAGCCACAAGTATCCACCAAGGAGTTTATTATTCAACGAAGGTTTGCCAAAAAGAGTCCCAAACCACCAGTGTCCCCCAAGAGGGCTGTGAAGTTACTATTGCTCTATAATGGGGATTTTATACCACTGGTGTCCCCCAGAGGGCGTGTCAAACCATCATAGATCCCATCCACGGGATCACCAGAGAGACCCCTCACAACAGTGAGACCCCTCCATGGCCAAATCCTCCCAGGAATCTTTCAACAGGGTACATTCCTCCTATGTCCCTCCTATCCATCTTTGGAGAAAATTTAGCTATACCTTGTACCCATCTTCTTCTTCTCTGTGCCTAAGAGTGGGAATGGTGGGCAGTGGTCAAGAAAGCATATGGAAGGACCAGTGAGGCCTTCAGCAGGACCATTCTGGTTGACAGAGAATGTCTATCAAGGGGCTGGGGAGGGGAAAACAGTAGTGTGTAGTCTTGGCTGTTCTGTGGGTTTTACAGGGTTGTCTCATCTTAACACTTTCATAGTATTCCCTGCTTTAAAAAAGAGTGACAGATGAACACCAACATGTAATAAAGGCAACCTCTCAGGAAGCCAGAAGGTAAATGGAGTACTTCTGCCCTCTTCTAGTCACCTAAGAAGGTGTTGGGTACATTAGTGACACCATCTTAAGGCGGGAAATGAAAAAGGAGCAAAGATCTTATATCACACACATATTTTCTGGACTAATGTTCAGTGGAATGCTTCCTGAGACCTTATGGTTGACTGACTCCTCAGTGAGGGGATGGCGTGGTCTCTCTCAATAAATAGCTTTTGTCCTTGAGGGGAAACTAGAGCTGAGAACAAACATCTGTGAGCCCAAAGTTATCAGCAATGAGTTGAGTTCCACTGTGTGATCTTTACCCATTTACACTCCTTTCGTGGGCCTCAGCCTCCACATCTGCATAATGGCATGGAGGCAGGTCACCGCAGGACCTTCCTTCTGGCCCAGGTTGTTGGAGCAGGATGTCTCCCTTGACAGCACATTGTCATTCCCAGAAAGTGATGCTGTCTAGTTTGGGGCCTCCAGCCGTTCCCTCTCCTTTACCAGCAGCTGGGGACATCAGTAGCACTCCCTGGGGTGTGGATAGACATACAGGTCTGGGTGGCCCAGACACTTGAATACGTAAGGGCATGCAAGACCTGGCTCTACTAAAATAGCAGGAGACCTTCAGGCAGATCAAAACACTCCCACCTCAAAGGGATTCCCCATTGTCATGGCTCTAGGCAGTCATCCTAGCCATTGCCCAGAAGATGCCCCACCTCAATCACCGCTGCCCTATCTGAAGCCCACACCTCCAGACCTACCCCAGTTATGCCCAAACTTGGTTGTCCCATCTATTCACAAAGCAACATTCCACAGGCGTCCAGTGGATGCAGGATTTAGCCCAAGGCAGTGTTGTTCTTGGTGTTCTTGGACGTGTCTTAAAGAACCAAGATGTTTCTGGCAGGGCGCAAGGGCCATTCTGGCTCCACTGACCCTAGTTAAGACCCAGAGCTGATTCTCCCTCCAGACCTCCAGCGCCACCTCTCAGACTGGCATCTAGTTCTCCCAAACCCATCTTGGTCCCTGCGGGTCCCTTTAAGCCACTATGAAGAACACCTTGGGTTCACGCACTACAACCCCCATACACAGACCAACATGGCCAGGCTGGCACAGAGCAAGGAAGTAGTTACACAGACCACTCCCCTGCACTGTCTTGACCCCACACTCCCTCCCTCAGCAAAGACACTGTAGGGCCAGAGGATGAAACACATGCTTTATGCCCTGCGATGATCAGGGAAACTTGAGCAAAGGTCCAGCACTCACAATGCAATATACAAAAGTGGTCTGTCCTCCTCACCCCAGCTGAGGATGCTTGACTTGGAAGAAGTGACCCAGTCCCTCGGGTTTCAGGGTGTCCTATTCAATGCACATTTGGTTTGGTTGTTCCAAGTATTGAGAGATAGGTTGTCCTCTGAATTCCTCTGCCCCCATGGTACATGGAAGGTCATAGCAGAGGTGGAGCCGGTCTGCACATCCAAGGAGCACAGGTTGTTACACTGGGAAGGCCACAGCCTGCTAGGGTGAGAACCAACCCAAGTGCCAAAGATGGACAGAGGGAAGTTCTGACTTCAATGAAAGACAGGTCAGGCCGAGCAGGCATGGTCAGTAGTAGATGGCCAGCCCAGGCTCCTTGCCTGGATGGTGGAGGTCTTCCCTAGCTCCAGGTGTAGCTGATGGACCGGAGCCAGATGCTGCCTAGAGAGCAGGCACAGAGTGAGTATCTCCTCCCCAGTTCACTTGCCGCTCCTAGAGCCCCGCTGTTTGCTCATGGCTGTGAGCATCTGGCTGATGTAGGAGGTCAGGAGGTCATCCATCTTGTAACCCTGGATGCAGGGGTGAGAAGGAGCAGAGCACAAAGTGAGCCATGGCCAGCCACTCAGATCTGAGCCTCAGACCTTGCCTGCCCAGGGTCAAGGCAAATCCTACACTGCTCACGACTCAGTCTCCCTATGCACACAGGTGAGGAGTTAGACTCATCCAGCGAGTTGGCTTAGGTTCTAAGCTATTTGATCCCACAGAAGCCCCCAGCTTGTGGTCCCTCAAACCCAGGATGTGACTAAAGGCTTCCAGAGGAGCTCTACCTTGGAAGTTTGAGCTCAGTTCAGGAGGTCTCTGCTGATGGTTCAGCAGTTGAATTCAGGAGCTAAAGAGTTACAACTACAGGCTACTGAAACAGTAGCTGTTGAATGAGGAGTCTGCTCCTCAGCCTCAGAATAAGTCCCTTCCCCAGACCTCGCCTCAGACTGACCTGACTTTGGCCCCAACCTAACCCTTGGCCCTGACACCCTGGGCCACACCACACACTCCTATTTGTTTCATAGGCTGGGGGAGCTGGCAGGGACCCCTGCCAGGCCAGCAGGGAAGAGCTCTCACCAGCGATGTTTCACAGAGCAATTTGCTCCCGCGCACCAAGTTCCCAATGGTGATGTGGAAGTAGGTGTTGCCACTGCTCCAGTTAGAGATCTTGGTGAAGGGGTGAGTAGTCAGGATGTCCTGAGGGAGCAGAAAGGGCATGAAGCTGCAGAGCAAGCCTCACTCTCCCCAGCTCCAGCAGACAGGCACCACTTCATGAAGACCTCCAGCCCTCAGATGGAAAAGACCACAACGGCGAGAGGCTGGCTCTGCATGAAGGCTGCTGCAGGAAGTGGTTGTCTCTATGCCTTCCTTTGGACCAGCCGGATGGACAACCAAGGAAGTCCAGGAGGTGGTTCGGTACTTTGAGTGAAAATTGGAGATTTGAGTGGCCTTAGGGAACTGACTCTGTGGGCCTGCAGGAGATGGCCAGGGAGAGTTTGAGGAAGGAACCAAGAAGAAAACAGGACAGAACCTCAAGGAACAAAGCATACATAGGCTGGTAGATCAGCCCGCAAAAATGTCTGAAAAGAAATGATTCAGAGAGATAGAAAACAAAACAAAACAACCCAAAAAACAAAACGTGTGGCACATGAAGCCAAGGAGAATATGATGGTCATTGGTGCTTTTCACCTTCTGGGGACATGGTAGGATTGTGCTTTTTGGTCCCCTTGGCAGAACTGCTATGGCCCTTGAACACGCAGATCCCCCAGCATAGACTGCCATCCTGGCCAGTAAGGGTACAGAGCATTTTGGAAGGAGGAAGCAGCTTGCAGCAGCCAGTGATGCTCAAAGGCCGAACGCTGAAAGGAGCGCGCAGGATTCAGCACCAAGAAATCTGTTGGTAGCTCTCGGAGAGCAATGCTGGTGCAGCAAGCGAGGGGCAAGGGAGCAGAGAAGGCGATCATGGACAGCCTTTCAGGATGCGAGGCAAGGACGCTGATGAATGCGCATGGTGGTTAGCCGGGGTCGTGTCTCGGCCAACAGAGAAGCCCACCCCAGCTGCTCACTCTTTCCCTGCTCACCTTGGTTCTGGGATCAATGAGGCTGACCCCATACTTGTTGATGGCAATTAAGAGGATCTCAGGGAAGTTTGGCTCCGTAGTTTGCTAGCAGGGAAAGATGGAAAAATCAGCAGATGGAGGCCGGAGTAGGGAAGCATCTTTGGTGCTGGGGTAGACTCTGCCATGACCTCATGGTTTCCACCCCTGCCACGTCCTAAGTGCTGCCCCACATGCCTTTCTAGGTCCCCAGCAACAGTTCCTTCCCTTCTGTCTGACTTCTCTAGAAATCTTTGTTATGTTCTTTCTCTCAGCCCAAGATTTCTCATCTGCAACAAGCCCTTCTGGAACTTTACACCTGCCTCCAGCTACCTCTGTGCCTCTGCTCCTCGCACAGCCAAGTTTCTCAAGAGCCCACATCCTCCCATACCAGCCTCTTCACCATTCTGCCTCTGGTCAGGCCATCAGCTCTGTCCTCCACCTTGCAGCCAGAACAGCCACTCAGCCCCCTGCGCCTGTTCAGACACCTCCAAGGCTCGCTACCACCTGCAGGAACATCTACTTGCCAACCCGCCCCTCGCCATGATCTACCCACCTCACTCCTATATTCAGACACACTGAACCCCTGCAGGGCCCTCCAGGCCTTTGCCTATGCAGACTCCTGCCAGGAGCACGCCCCAGGGTCTCCCTGAAAAGCTCAAGTGTCACCTGCTCCAGGAACGTCTGCCCAGGCCACCTCCTCAGTCTGGCCAGGGCCTCCTCAACTGTATCACCTTTATGAAGGCTTCCACTGTCACAGCACAGCTGCCCTCCACTATTCTGGCTTGTCTGCATGTCTGTGTCTCCTGCCAGGCTGAGCGTGTGGTCCCTGTCTCTCCAGGGCTGAGCTCTTAGTTAAGACACTCAGCTAGATCAAGGCTAAGGGTACTTTCCTCAACAGGGCAGTTGTCTGAGGCCATCACTGTTTGCCTCAGTCCTAGGGAAGAGTCTCTGTGCCTTATCATCCCCCTCTGCCCTCTTCCTCCTCATTGAGGAACACCCCATGGCATACCTTCACCTCAAAAAAGGCAGAGCCGAAGGTGGGCCACTTGAAGATGAGCTTCAGGAAGGCCAGCTTGGCCTCCTCCTTGGACTTTCCCGCGTGCTTGTTGAAGTAGGCAACGATAGACTGCAGAAGGAGGTGGGTCAGCACAGACCACTCATAGCCCTCCTCCCACCATTCCTGCCCGCTTCCTGTCTGCACTGTCCGGGCCAGACATAGGACAGGCAGTCCTGGAGAGCCAGGGGGGTTCCTACTTTACCCCGGCTAATGGACTTCCGATCTCCTTTCCCTCCCCTAGGAAGGCAGGCCAGAGGTATCAAGTAAACTTAAATCACCCTGGTAACCAGGACAAATTACTATCGTGGGGTCATCAAATCCTTTGCATGGAGGACTAGAAAATGAAGCAGATGAAAGCAGAGCAGTGTTGGGGGGGGGCTTAATCACACATAGGAGCCACAATAGGCAAGCCTTGGGCTGTGGCCAGCACTGCCGCCTGGACTCACAGTGCACCTGCAGACCCTTTTCCGTACCACCCCATGCTCACCCGCTTCCAGTCGTCAGGCGAAATCTGTCGGATGAGGTCCTGGGGAACCAGTTCCCTTAGCAGTTTAGGGATGCTGGGGAAGTAGGATTTGTCTTCCTCAAATTTGACCCTGTAGATCAGCGCCCCCAGCTGCAGGACCTCCTCTCGTGTGCACTTGTGATACCCTCGGAGATACTTAGGCAACTCCTGCCAGAGACAGAGCAGGTCACAGGCATGGAGGGACCTGGAGGGAGTGGGCTCTTTCCTTGCCACCTCAAGGCTGGGGACTCTTGCCTTACCCCCACATTTGGGCCCATCCCTTCTCCAGCCTCAGAGGATCCTGCACCTCCCAGGGTAAGGACAACAGCAGTATGCCTGCACAGTTTCCAGACTTTCTCATTTCAAAGAATGGCCATGTCAGAACACTGTCCCTTTCCCATCTTAACAGTCCAGTAAGGTGAGCAGCCCCATTCCACAGATGAGGAAACTCAGTGTGAGCAGCTAGTGGACCTGGGACTGTTCCGTACCTCTCCTCTCTGGAATCCGTCCTCCCTTGGAAAAAGCCTGTCAGTCTGGCCTCCTCCCATAATGTCCCCTTGGGACTGGCTGGTTTCTTTAGGAGTACCAGCCCTCCTACCTCCTTGAACTTCTAGACCCAGAAACAGAGCATCTGAGGAGTGAAGAGTGGACCAAAAGCAAAGCACCATCATGGCCCACATGGCCCCTGAAGTCATAGGACCATCTTACACACCACTATAAATGTAAAGAAGGTGAGACTGGCCTGAGGACACACTGCTGATCAGAGATCTGTGCCAGCCACTGTCCATCCACCTTTCCATCTACCCTCCCACCCACCCATCTACTCATTCCCCTACCTGCTCCCCACTTATGGGTCACAGCTGGTCTCTGCTTTCACAAAGTAGAGCAAAACCCGTAGCATGTGGAGGTAACGGGAGCAGAGAAGTCCTGGGAAGCTCACCTGGTAATAGTGGAAGATGGAATCAGCCATGGGGTCCTTGCCTGGCACTGTCGTGGTCCACAGTTTCTTCATGAAGAACACCTGGTAGGTGAGCGAGGGCACGATTCCTATGGCACAGGGCAGCTGGTCACCCAGAAAGTCCCAGCACAGAGGGCACCAGTGCTAGCCCTAAAGGAAGTCTCTGCTTGGGCCCCACATAGGTGGACCTGGCAGCATGGCCCTGGGCCAGTACCCGCCCTCTCTGGGCCTCAGAGGACCCCAGGACCCAGCCCCATTACCATCCTTGATGGGCCGTGCTTTCTTTATCCAGTCTGTCAGGTGTCGAACAAAGTCAAAGAAGAAGTCATTCTCAGGGACGCTGATAACCTATGGGCATGTTATTGCAGTCCATTCATTTTAGTTCAAGCAATACTGGCTTTTCTCACTTTCCCAGCCAAGTGGTCCCTTCTCCAAAAAGAACACTCCCAACTTGAAGGGGTTTCCATATATCAGACCTTTCCAAATGTCAGACTTTGACCTTTCCCGGGTGTAGGACCTCACTGGGGTCACCTTTGGGTCCCCAGTGCCCGGTGCAGGGACAGTAGTGAAGTGGGGAAATAAATGTGGATGTACACAGAATCACCTGTGAACAATAGGAGGGAGCATCTAATTCTGCTGGAGATGGTCAGGGAAGACTTCCCTTGGGAAGCACCTTTACGGCTCAGTGTGTAAGACTCCCAGAGCCAGAGCGGGTGGAGCATTACCCTCGGAGTCAGAGGCACCTGGGTCTGAGTCTGTGCCGTGTGACCTTGGATTAGTTACTTAACTCTCAGGGCCCTAGGTCTGTGATCTGTGAAGTGAGAATACTCACACTGCCCCTCAAGGCTCATTTCAAAGGTTAACTGGCCCCAGGATGGCAGCTGAGGAACCAGTGAAAGCAAATTTACAGAGTACAAGGGCTGATCAAAAAATATGGTATGCATTTAAATTTTTTAAATTTATTACAGTAAAAGCACATCACCATTAATCACCCTAAAATTACTCTTCCTCTGCTTCAAACACACATCTCATTGTTCTTGCCACTTTCTGAAGCATTTCTGGAAGTCCTCTTGCGTGAGTGTCTTTATAAGGTATGACCAAAAATACAGTGAATGCTGCTGATGAGCGTCATCCACCAGAAAGGCAGGCTCATAAAAACATCACAGCATGTCCTCATCCATCACAGTCACCTGACCTGGCACCATGTGACTTCTGGATCTTCCTCAAAGTGAGAATGGCCATGAAAAGTAAACACTTTGAATTGATTCAAGACATCAAGGCAGCCACGACAGCACAAATAAACGCTTAAGAAAGAGAACTTCCACAACGGCTTCAGAAAGAGACAGCAAAGGATGGAACAAGTATGTTGGAAGTGAAGGGAAGTATTTTGAAGGGACCAATGGCGATGTGTCTTTTATGGTCATAAACATTTTTAATTTAAGCATTTGCCATATTTTTCAATCTTATCTTGTATATGTGAGGATCCTGGTATATTCAGAATATGCAGTTCCTGGGCACAAGACTCATAAAAGGTGTGAGCCCCTGTGCAGTGCCTCAGAAGGGAGATTTAGGGGCAGGTGCTCCCTTTAAGGGGAGCTGAAGCGGGTGCGCACAGTTGGATATGAATACCAAGGCTTCTCCCCACCCCAAAAGTCCCAGAAAATCTCCCAACAGCTGGCAGACAGCTGACAGGAAGCCAACCAATGACTCACCTTGTCTGCAATTTTGACAAAGAGGCTGAATCCCTCAGAGGACTTGAGGAGCAACCGAGTAGCGATGTTCTGGCAGAAGTCCTTGGCCTTGGTGCTGGACTCCACCTCAAAGGCCTGGAGGACGGGGCTCACTTGGCTCCTGCAGGCCTTCCCCAGGGGCCTGGTCCTCCCATGCTTCTCTGGCTATACCTCCCGGACACAGGCCCCTCCCGTTCAAGACACCCTCCTTTGGAAGGGGCTTCTCCCTAGGCCCAGAGATGAGCACAGCATTTTTAAAAAGGAAAAAGCAACTCCGGCCTCAGTCCCCTCAGGTCTCATCATCCTTGACCTTCCAAGCAGAACTCCGACTTGGCCTGGACCTCTCAGTTTTGCACCTGACCGTACAAATACAAGTGGTGGCAAAGGCCAAGGCCCTCAGAAACGCAGCGATAAGGAGAGAGACTTGAGGAAGAGGAAAAGCAAATTCCACAGGGGGAGGGGAAAGCAGTTCAGATGGATGAGAAGACCTGAGAGTCTAGCAAATAGAGACAGGGGAGAGACATTTGGAAGATAGGACCAAGGTGGAAAGGACCCTGACCACATCAGGTCAGAGGGAGGAAGGGAGTCAGTGTCCTGTGTGCAGGACAGTGGCCTCAGGCAACCGGGGCATCTGTGTTCTTTTCACATAACCCTGACTGGACCAAGGGGCAGGAAGATGAGGCAGCAATGAAGGTAGCAGGTGAGGAGTCAGAGCCACCCTCTGTGTCTGCCAAGGGAACCCCATCCCGTCAGAGGTGTGAGACCCGGGAACCAGGGCCCCTCACCTCGTCTGTGTCGTCGGGGAAGTAGACTTTGTGGAAAATCTGAGTGGTTTTGTGCTGGATAGCCTCCACCTCCACCAAGTGCGGAGGGTACTTCCGGGATCCGTTTCTGAAAATTGGGCAGGGGAGGGTGGGGTGGGAGGATATGGGTTCATGGAACCATGCAGGGAAAGAGGGAACCGGAAACACAAACCTCAGTCTGCTGGCCATGCTCACTTCCTACAGTGGGGCCGGGCACTTCACCCCTTCCAGCCCCCAGTCCCTGATCTGGGAGAGGGGATTCAGCACCACCAGCGCAGAGGGCTGTGGAGCAAGCCTGGGGCGTGGCCCAGCGTGCAGTGTGTGCGCCTCCCCAGCACGTGAGCGACTCAGGAACAGGTCTCCCTGGCTGTGTCATCTCTCATCCCCAAAGGGCTTGTCCCACTAGCTTGGGGTGGCCACTGTACCTCAGGGCTTTCTGGAGCCGCTGCAGGCAGTCGATGGCCAGCGGGCAGTGCTTGCGGGACTGCAGGAAGCGCTGCACGTGAGGCAGCAGGATGTTGCTGGGAGGGAAGAGGCCAGTGCACAGCCACAGCAGCTCCCAGCCCCGCTCCTCGCTGTACCTGCAGGAGGCAGCAGCGCTGGCAATCAGGGGACCTGTGCACCCTGGTGCCATCCCAGCTCCTCACCTGATCTGAGCACCGGCACCGACCCACATCCTGACAGGCAGATCCAATAAGTGCTACCCGCAGTGTGGTCCCCCACCCATGCCAGGCCACACACTATTCCCGTAAGTCCATGTGGAGACAGACAGGTGTTCATGTCAGGATGGAATTCAGTTCCTACGCACTCCATCTGGGTCAGCTGAGATTTTTTGTCACAGCAAGACCTTCCCCAGGAACACCACCACCACGTGTGACTTATATCCTGGCAGAGCTCATGAGCTCACCTATACTGGGAGTGGCCCTGCATTAGGTCATACACACACACACACACACACACACACACACACACACACACCCTGCCCCCAGCGCTCCCTCAGGCACCACCTGGGCTCCTTGGGCATGGAGAGCATCTAGGAAGAGGTAGGTTTGATCTAGGCTTTGAAAGATGAAGCAAACTCAGATGTGCACAGACAGGGATAAAAGGTTCTGTCCAAGAGCGCAGCATGCACAAAGGCTTGATGGTGTGACAGAGCTGATGTGTGGTTCCAGGATGATGTGTGCACAAGGTAGAGACAGGAAGAGTGACAAGCTTTGGGGGAGTCTGGGGTAAGAGGAACGGGTGGAGCTTTCCTTTGTCTTCTAGGACTTCCCACTCCTGCCTCAAGAAGGCCCAGTAAGGGGGAAGAGGTGACACCTTCTAGGGCCCAAAAGCCCATGAGGATTTTCAGCAGGCACTTCCCACGGGCAGCCAGCTTGGCCTGAGCCAGGACTGCCTGGCCTCCCCTGGAAACCCCAGGGCTGCAGGGCTGTGCAGAGGCAGCTCAAGCAGACACTAGGAGCAGCCGGGGCTGTTACTTAGGAGGGAGACACTCGAAGGGCGGGAGTCCCCATTGCTGGTGCTGACAGGTTGCCCTCAAGTCTCAGCCCAAGGGAGTTAAAGCAGCTCCCACTGCCAGGCAGAGCACCTGCTGACCCCCGGAGGCTGTGACCCTGCGCCTCTTACCTGATGTGGTTGTCCGTCAGCTGCTTCAGGATCTGCACGTAGGCCTCGTCCTTGAGGGGCTCAGCCTTCAGGGCTCCCTCAAAGATCTGATCCGTGAGCTCGTTGACCGAGCGCGCCCTCTTGGAGGGGTAGTCGCCCATGTACTTGAGCACGGGTGAGAGGTGTCAAGGAAGGATGTGTGGTCTGGTGGGGGAAATGCTGACCTGGGAGGTAGAAGTCCCCCCTCCCCCAACTCTGGGCTCAGGCTACTTAGTTACAGAAAAGTGTGATCTACTCACCTTCTCCCCTCCCCTGGCCCCCTCCTCACAGGCCCCAACCCCACATCCCAGGTCCTCACAACAGGCAGGGCAGACTTTCCAAAGCACCCATGTAACTGCGCCCCTTCCTGCCCAGAGGCTCCTCCCGGCCTGGGGACACAACCCAAGCTGCTTCACAGGGCTCAGGAACCTTTCCCAGACCTGTATCCGCCCTGCGGAGGTGCTGAATGACTTTGTGCCCTTGAGGCAGCCCTGCTGTTTTGCCTCAAGGCCTTCGCACTGCCTCTCCCTCTGCCTGAAGGCTCCCCACCCATCTGCCTTTGCCTGGCTAAGTCCTGGCCAACTTTTGGGGCTCAGCCCAGACACTGCTCCCACCAGGAAGTCCTCCCTGCCTCCTTCAGGCTGGGTCAGTTCACTGTGCTGCGCAGTCCCCTCACAGTACAGTTTCTGGTCAGTGTGCTGGCCCCCGGAGGCCAGGGGCTGGCTCTGGTCACAGTTCTGTACATTTCTTATTTGTCAGCCAAATGGCAGTGTCACAGGAGGCAGTGGGGAAGGCAGCCCCTTGCACGCATGTCCAGGACCCAGCCTGCGCCTCAGGAGGAAAGGAAGGTCTCCCGAGGAGACAAGCACCTGCTGTCCTCCCACCCTGCCCCTCCCGCCCACTGCTGGTGTGGATATCAATGAAGGCCATGCAGGCCTCCTGTGAGAGCTCCTCACTGCCCAGAATCTTCTTGAGCAGTGCTTGCTTGAGCGGCTCCCGAGTGTGGCTCCACAGCCGGTCCTTGCCGCGGGCCTTGGACACCATGACACGGCTCAGCGTGTGCTTGGGCGGGGGTCTGCTGGGGACAAGGACGGTCAGCACAGGAGCAGGGGGTGGGGTAAGGAGACCTGCAGGTGGTGAGACACCCAGCCTGCCCCTTGGCTGAAGCTGCTGAGGGCAGGAACAGGCTATGCTCTTCCCTACCCTGCCTTGCCACCAGGGATGCAGATGCCACTTCCTCCAGAAAGCCACTGCCCATCCCACCCCAGGCACACAGAGCCACAGCTGTCCATCCTCCCTCCCATCTCCCCAGCAGGACTGAGGGCGCAGCCACACAGGTATCCGTGAGGTGCCCCCAGGACCTGCGTGGGCAGGCCAGTCAGCGTCCCAAGGAGGGGTGAGACCCACAGAAGGGCCAGCTTGTTGGACAGGAACTGCCCCCTGCTGCCACTGCCCAGGCCCTGCTCACAGGTGGGGGCTGCCGCTGCCACCCTGTCACCACTCCTAGGAGCCGTCACCTGAAGTAGTCATATGAGAATTCCTCCAGCGTGTAGGGCTTGCTGCGCACCTCGGGCTCCGCTGTGCGCAGCTGCAGGAGCCGGATAACGTCCTGCCTCTGGTCGGGGGTCATGGTGACCAGAGCCTAGAAGCCAAGAGATGGGGCTCAGGGCAGCTCTCCCCCTGGGACCACTGGGATCAACACAGCAAAGCTTGATGCCTTCCAGATCTGGAGTGGGGAAGACCACCTCCCCGGGTGTGGACGCCATGCCTCTTCTGATCCTGGGAGCCCTTTTCCTCCCTAGGAGTCTGCAGCCTCTGCTGCCTCATCATGCTGGGCTCCTAACTGCTGGTCACCTGAGCCTGGCTCAGGAGGCACCTGAGGAGCTGGGCTCTGGGGCTGCCCAGAAGGGCCAGGTACACCTGCCTGCTGTGCCCTCACTCCCTCTCAGCCAGACAGACGATACCCTCCTGCCAGCCACTCTCCTGCCCTCCCTTCCTCTTAGCGGTTCCTCCTTTGCTGTCATCTCTAGGCCCCTGCTATAAGACCGGCCCCTTAAGGCCCCTGGAATATCTTTACAGAAGCTGTAAAGATAAATCATTCCTCTATCACAACACCTCACTCCATTTTACAGCTATGAGAAGATGGCAGAAGAGTCTACAGCAGCCTCCCATCCACCCACCACTGCCAGGCCACGTACCACAATCTCCCGCGGGGGCATGGTGACAGTAGGCATGACGTACACACAGTCCGTGGGGAAGTCCCCACGCTGCTTGGTCCTCTCACTGATGCCGTTGGCCCAGCCTGAGTTCATGACCTGCTCGCCGGTGTCATGGTCCAGGATGATGAGGTCTCCCTTGGCGAAGCTGAGGAAACCCGACTCCTCGCCCGCTGCAGAGCAGAGGGAGCAGGGCCGCATGGAGGCAGAGAGAGAGGCTGAGTTGCAACATCTTGATCTGGGTTGATCTACAAGCCACTGCTCTCCATCGAAGAGCCGCAGCCCTGTTTACCTTGTGTCTGCTTATCTGCCGTCCTGCCTCCACCTTCACACAGACAAAGCCACCTTCTGTGGCTCCCCAGGGCCCTCAGGAGAATGCCTAAGCTTCTGACTGTGGTGAGCTGGCCTCCCTGACTCCTTCCCCTCAGTTCATGCTCATCCTCCCCTCCCTTGGACTATCCTTTTCAAACCAAATACAGGCCATCCCTGGACATCCGCGCTTTCTGCGCGGTTCGTGCTCTGTCCCCACCTCGTAGGCTCTGCTCACTCACACCTCCTCCCACAGCCTCTGCGCTTCCCTAGTCACTGTCCCCCCGCCCTCCTCACTGAAGGACTCTGGCAGGGCCTCAGTGGCCCAGGAGATGCTCCGTCAGGGTAGTCGTTATGCTACTGTCTTTTGAAGGCAGAGGGTTTAGGAAAATCCTAGGGAAGACCCCTGATCTGATTTGAGAAGGTTACAGGAGCTAGGTAATGAGGACCTGAGAGAGGGAGACGAAGGTTCCCCACAGAGCACCTGAAGGCAGAGTCATGCCATCTTGCCCAGTGTCTGGGAAGGGCGGGTGACAAGGCACTAACAGCCCTGAGCACTGGCCGAGGCCAAAGCGTATGGTCTGCCTAACGCCCCTGGCCACCCATGCTGGCCACCACTCACCAGGGTTGGGGTTGTCCTGCAGGGCCACCACATACTTAGACCTCTTCCGGAGTCCCTCCAGGAAGGTGACCACCAGGTCACGGATGTCCTCGGCATTGCTGGATGTGAAGGTGTACTCATCCCCCTTAATGGTGGCCAGTGTGAAGCTGGGGGCTGTCAGTTTCGCTCCCCTGCAGGACCAACACGGAGAACAGGGCCCGGCCGGGGTCAGTCCTGCCCGGCCCGAGTGAGTCTCAGCACAGCCCAGGTCAGAGCAGCCCAGCGAGAGTAAGACACGGCACTCCCTGAAGGAGACCAAGGCCAGCCAAGTGAGCATCCCGGCCACAGGACAGGAGGCCCAGTCCAGCACGGCCGGTCTGACCAGGGACACATGGCCAGGTCACATGCGTCTCAGTGTCAGATAGACACAGCCCTTGCACAGCCCACTTTGGCCACATCCCCACTCTTCTCTGAGTCCTGCTCACCCTTCAATCCTCAGCCTAGATTCCACTTCCTCCAGAAAGCTCTCCTCAGCCTTCAGCAGCCCTCATGACACTGCCCCGTTCTAAAACGGCCTGTTCAATGTCTGTCGCCTCACCTGACTGATCTCTAAGAGGCACGGTCTGTTACCACTGCATCCTCTGTACCTGCAAGAGCCGGACAACCCAGAGCCCAGCAGACACAGCCCAGAGACACTCCTACTAACCCCAGGTGGGACACAGGTCGCCTCACTCTTCCACAGGGTCACTGCACTCTGCCCCCTCCTGTGTGCACTGCACTTTACAGTTTACAAAGAGCTCTCCTACACTTAGCCCGCTGCGCCTGCGCACTCTGTGACCCACGGCAGCACCCGGCACCCTCTCTTCCCCATTCATCTATCTGTGCCCCCTCCTACCTGCTGCTGGACACGGCCATGATCTCCGGGAAGGACAACTCCAGGAGCACTTGTTCCTGCTCATCCACAAAGTAGACGCCCGTCCAGTTGACAGCCACAATGACATCATTCTTGGGGAGGCTGGGGCCTGGGACAGTGACAGAAACCCTGAGAGGGACACCCCCTTTCTCCCGGGCCCACCCTCTCCCAGGCCTCTCCCAATCCTCATAACCATCAGGGAGGATGAGAGCACCCTGGCTTCCAGTTTACAAATAAAGAAACTGACACTCAGAAAGCGAGGCCGTCCTATTATCCAAATCCCCAGGGCAGTGGGAAGAGAGCGCTGGATCAGGAAACTCGGTGTCAGTCCCATCCCCGCCCTCTGTGCAGCTCTGGACAAGTCTCCACCTTCAACCAGCATGGGATATGGGAGGGGTTGGACAGGGGAACCCCGGGTTCCCTCTGGCCCCAAAGTCTGGTAACTGAGCACTGGCCTGCCACAGAGCAGATGCCCAGTAGCAATGGCCCAAGGCCGATGGCCCATGCAGGTCGCTGTTAGCCACACTCATCGCAGCTTCAGCACAGCACGCACAGAGCTGCCCGCCGAACTCTGAGTCACCCTCTGTACAGCAGGTGCTTTTGCAGTTTTATCCAGTTCAATTCAGTGTATGCCCTGGAGTCACTACCGGACTGGGACCTTCGGCAATGCGACCTGGAAGACCATGGCCCCAGATTGGGAGCCTGGCTGAACTCCCTCCTTCAGCCACGGGGCCGTGGGGTGAGGGGCTGAGAGAATTCGAGGCTAGGAGTACCTGAGAATTTGTAGGCTTCATAAAACCTGGAGAAGAGCAAGGGCCACTTGAAGCGGGCGTAATTGACCACATCTTCTTTGACCTTCTGGGCGTCAGTTCTCCTTTGTGCATAAATCCCCTGGGGAGGACAGAGAGACAAAGGATGACGTACAAGCTCTAGAAATCAGACGGCCCCGCCTCCAGCCAGGGGTGGTCAGGGCTGCTGCACCCCACTGTACACCATGGCCTTGCCGCCTCCCCCACCTCATCCCAATCGACACCACTGAGCCTGTGTGAGGCTCCGCGTCCGTGTAGGTCCCAAGGCACAAGCTGGAGAAAACAAAGGGGCCGCCCCCCACCCCAGCCCAGGGGCTCCCAATTCAGCAGCAGCAGGAAAGCTGAGAAACCTAGTCAGGGCCCAGGATCCAGAGGAGTTTTGCATTGCTGCAGAAGAGATGGGGGTGTGGCATGGGGTGTGGGAACGGCTGTGGGGAGAGGGGAAGGACCACGGCATGGAGAAGCCCGGCCCTAGGACTGCAGGTGACTACAACTGCAGGAGGGGGCTTCTGTGGAAACACCCAGGCGAATCTAGGAGTTAGAAGGATCAGATCAGAGGAGGGATTGGATCCTGGGGCGAAGGGGAGTAGTGAGGGATACCACAATGCTCCTGGCAAGAAACACAAGCGCTAGAGTTTCGTTTCCCTAAACTCTTCTCCCAAGCTCTAGTAAGGACTCCATGGTGTTGGAGTGGAATTGGTGGGATCAGAAGATGCTCGTGATTTTGGCAGTATGTGGACATAGGCAGATAAGGAGAGCTATGTGTGCCACACACAGCGCCCTATTTCCATCATGGAGAGAGCTGAGACACAGAGCCACGCCAGAAACAGCCAGTGTTCAGGGCAAGTGGCTTGAACATGAGCTTGCCAGCTTGCCAACCTAAACTGAGATGTTTGGGGGAAAAATATCTACGTATGTGGAGAGAAAATCACAAAGCAAGTGGTGCTAACAGTGAGAATCCAGGTGAGATGTGTGCATCAGTCCTCAGTTTTTGAATGTGCAACTTCTCTGTAGGTTTGAAATGATTTCAGAGTAAAATGTTTTAGACTGCACTATGCCCCCATCTCAGATTCATCTGTTGAAGTCCTAATCCCTCAGGAACCATGTTTGACCATAAAGACTATAAGAGGTAAAGTTAAACCTCTTTAAGGTGGGGCCTCATCCAATAGGTCTAGTGGACTTAGAAGAAGGAATTTGGGGGTACACTGTAATTCCAGCTATTCAGGAGGCTGAGACAGGAAGCTTGCAAGTTTGAGGCTAGGCTGGGCAACTCAGACTGTCTCAAAAAAAATACAAAGGGCTGGGGATGTAGCTTAGTGGTAAAATGCTAGCCTAGCATGTGCAAGACCCTGGGTTCAATACCTAGCAAAAAAGAAGAATGAAGAGAAGGAGGAGGAGGAGGAGGAAACCTGGACAGATATTCATGAGCACAGACGAGAGACCACAGGGAGAAGACAGTTATCAGCAAGCAAGGAGAGGCCCTAAGAAGAAGCCAGCCTGATCCTGAATCCCCAGCCCCAGAACTGAGATGTGCACTTGTGCTGCTTCAGCTGTCCATTCTGTGGTGCCTTACTAAGGCAGCCCACAAATCTGTCCTCTCTAGAAGAGCCCAGGGACACACACACACACACACACACACACACACACACACACACACACACAAAGCTGCAGTCCAGAGGAGAGACACAGCTCAGCTGTGGGTTCCAAAATGACAGAAATCATTTCCGGTCCATTCATAACTGTGTCTCCAGGACTTGATCTGGTGCCTGGCACCAAAATAAGGTGAACGCCTGAACAATGGTACCCAACCTAGTATATGCCACATGCGTGTTCCACATGCCACACGGCATGATCGTAATGAACTCCATGGCAGTTAGGGTAGAGGGTCTGCCAGCCTGGCTTTGGACTCTACCTGGGGGATTGGTGGTCACACTCCTGGGTGTGCCTGGGTGGGCTGTGAAGGTGTGGTCTCGGGCACCCACGTCTGTCTGTGCCCTCCCCGCTTCCTCTCTGGTGCTGTGCCCCCATTCTGCTTCTGATCATGGACTGATGGGGGCCTTGGAGATGCGCTCGCTGCCAGAGCCAGTGTCCCAGCCCCTTCCCCACTGGATGCCCCTGCTCTCCCTGGGCAGGCTCCTTAGCCCAGGACGGAGCTACTCACGCTGGCCACAGGCCTTGGGTTCCAAGTAAGGGCTGCAGAAAGAGCCCGGGTCTAGAGTGGCTGAGCAGAAAGGTGGTTGGGGTTCTTTTAGGAAAAAAAGTGGACATTTTCTAGACACCTCCTCCCTCCAGTGCCTCCTCCACACCTGATCAGCCGTTCTTGGGAAATACAGCATTGTAAGCAGCTGGTACAAGACCAGGGGACGTCACCTCAATACCCACGGCTTTGGGGTTTCCTCAGGAATTCAGGACTTGGTTTGATTCTACTCTGTGTCCCTGGCATCCAACTCAGAGAAACAGATAGAAGACAGGTGTGGCTGATGCTCGTGGCAGAGAAATAACTGCAGGAGGCAGGAGGCCCTGGCCCCAGCAGCTCCACAGACAGACATCTGTTGGGGGGAACTGTGACCTCGATTGCTTGGGTCTTGGCCCCTCCTCCAAGCCCTCTGCTGGTCTTCCTACCTTCTTGTGGGCAGCAATGGCCAGCTGGGCCCATTTCTCAAGTGTCTTCAGTGGTGTGATCTCGCGGTCAGGGATGTAGGTGGGCACAAGGTTCAGGAGGCGCTCCAGGATCATTTCGGAGCCGTAGTCCACAAAGTACTGCTGGGAGGCTAGCTCGGCCAGATCATCTTCCTAGGGGAGGAGACCTTAGTCACACCTGAGGCCCAGTCCTCTTCGGGAAGTCCTTCCAGACACGAAGAGCCCAGGCCTTCTCCTGGCCCTGCTTCTTATGGGTCTGGGACCCTACTCTTTGGGACCCTGTGTTATTGCTTCTGGTCTGCTCAGGAGGCCTGTGAGCATCCTAAGGGCAAGGCCACTCTCCTGCCTTCTCCTGGGTCCACCTGTTTGCTGCACTGGACTCGCCAGGGCTCCATCAGCAGGGGCAATACAAAAAGGATCTGGCAGTCTCAATGGCAAGAGATAGTTTCCGATGAGTTTCAAGTATTTCAGAATTTTAGCAAATAATACAGCTGGTGTAACACTTTATGACTGAATATTAGCTTATCATCACTTACACCACCAAAGCATCACTACCACATTACCAATACCACCACTGCCACTGATACCCATAGTAAATACCATCAGTACCATCACCGCTACCATCAACATCATCACTGCCACTAACACCATCACTGTAGCCATTAACACCACCATCACCACCACCAGTAACACCACCATACCCAACACCATCACTGCCACCACCCACAACCATCATCCTTTCCATTTCCTCATCTCTCACACAACTACAAGTAGCATCAGAACTACAGTTACCATTATCAAAAGCAAGGCAACCACACTGTTTCAGTCCTCAGGAGATAAAACAACACACACATGCCAAGTCCAGTCTAAATGACTGCATCTCTTTCTCATTCAGAGTTTACTAGACCAACTCAGAACAGTACCACGGGTACGGACTGAAGTGCATACACTGTACCATGCGCGGACACTGCAGCAGTGTGGCACACCTTCCAGTGGCAGAATCCGGGATGTTCATGAGAGATCCTGTTCCTGCCATGTTACCACATCCTCACAGCCCCCATGAGGAATGTGGGTTAAATCCCACAGAAGCCTGGAGAACACCCAACTGCGATCAGTCCTGCCTCAGCACTAGCTGCTAGGGAGTCACGATGGGGGCACGAAGCACATTTGGAGACACAGGTGGCTGAGGCTCAAGCAAGAGCAGGAGATTCCCTCTCACTCACCTTCTCACACCTGTACTCCCCAAACTTGACCCCTCGCACCACCTGCTGGTAGATGAGGTGGGTGGCCACGTTGTCTTCCGAGGGGTTGTGCCAGGGTGTGAAGACCTCTTTGCGGAAGAAGAGCCTCCACGGCGCATTGCGCTCCTGGGCGCCCTGCTCCTTGGCATACTGCTCACACTGGGAGATGGCGTCCATGACATGGTCGCTGCCGCTGCCCAGGGAGGACACCTGTGGGCACAGGAGGGCATGCTCAGAGGAAGAGTGGGCAGACACAGGGTCAGGGAAAGACTCCAAGGAGCCATCAGCTGTGCCAACTGTCTTAGTCCAGGTGGAAATGAGGCTCCGAGAGGCAGAAATGTGCCCGAGGTCCCCAAGAAGCAGACACAAAAGGAAACTGTGGGCCCAGCCATAGGCTTGCAGCCGGCACACTCAGTTACTATCTTTCTAGACCTAATAATGGGCATAGTCACGGGGAAATCCCCACCTCCCAGTGCACATCCTCTGTGAAACTTGTGCAGAAACTGCCACTGAAAACGTGTGTGTGAGGAAAATCCAAGTGAACCGTGCCCGGTCACAGGTTCTGTCCCCGGACTGACTGAGTAGAGGTGAAAGGCCCAGGGCCAGCTCAGTGGAGGAGGCTGCTGGCCTAAGCTGGACAATGGTCCTTGAGAGTTAGCTCACACGCCAACTGGTGGAGGACCAGTGGAAAGGAATGACCACTTGCTGGGAGCTCCCTGTCACTAGTCACAGCAAGCCGATATGGAACTACCTCCCCAGGGGATGCCCAGGGGCAGGGCTGGGCACCACGGGAGCATTCCTTCAGCCTGAGCACACACCACCCTATGGGGTTTGGGTCTCAGTCTGAAAGGCCCTGCAGAGCTTCTCCTCGGTGCCTGAGAGCCCGCCACCACCCTAAGGAGCCAGACAGAGTCAGGCTACCCCAGCCTAAATAACGCACTGGACGTCACCAGAGATAGTGAGCAGCACGCTGGGATGGGGTCAGTGGCCTTGCCGAGCGGCACCAGGAAGTGGCACTGCAGGTCACCTTACCTTATCAAATAGGGCGATGTAGAGCGAGAACCCAAACCGGTCCTTGAGAGAGATCTTGTCCGCCAGAGCGTTGCACAGCTCCTTGGCTGTGGTCGCTGAGTCTGTCAGCAGGGTCTTCGTGGTCCCATCCATGAACGTCACGGGCAACATGATGGGCTTCTTGGACTTGGTGGCCTTGAGGTGACCAACGGGTTTATGGGTCACTTCGGACCAGCCTACGCTCTGTACTGTGGCTCCATGCTCTCTGTGGGTCTAAAGCTGCCCGTGAGCCCCAGGCTCTGCGCATCCCCCTAGGACACCGCCTATCTCAGTCACAGGTGGCTGGGGCCCCGCTGCGCAGCCCTCCCCAATGGACTGTTAAGGCCCCTGCACCAGTGCACCGGGCTGGGATGTCGGGCACTGCCACAAGCAGAGGCTTCTGCACTCTGCTCACACAACCGTCGTAAGACTCTGCAGGTTGGTATCGTCATCCCCATGGTGCTGCTGAACCGCTGTGATGCAGAGGGTGTCCCCAACCCAAGTCTCTTTGGCATAAGGCCAGCAAATGGGACTCAGTGATCCTCTGGGCGCTGTCCTGCTCCCAGGGGCCCAGATTATAGAATTTGAGGGTGAGCACTGGAGGAACCACTGAAGCAGGGAGCGTTTGGGGGCACCAGAGTACAGGGAGTGTGCACAAGGGTCACCTGCAACTCCAGCCAGCTGGGTGGCTGTGTCCGTGTCCCATTGACAAAGGTCCTCCTCAGACGCTCCTCACAGTATGGGGCGTAGCCAGGGGGTCCCCCGTGGATGAAGTTCCGCAGGTACTACACAAGGCAGACCAGATGAAGCCGCCCCACCCCAGCAGGCCTGGGCCTCCCCCACCTGGACCACTGCGGCACACCAGGACCTGCTCACTGCGGCAGGACTGCCCACACCTCTCGCTCCAGCCATGGCTCCCACTGCACTTGGACCAAGTCCATGGACTGTGCTTGGCCACAAAATCACATAGTCCAGCCCCACCTGCTCTCCGCCAGGTCTCCTGCCTCACCCCACACATGCCCTCACCCCCTCTGCCCGGCATGAGTCTCCTCCGGGACCCAGTCTAGACTCCCCCACCTCTTTTGCCCTCACAGCACCAACCAGTATCCAGGCCTGACACAGGGCTGGACTGAGGTGACTGCCCCAGGACAAGGCAGAGGGCCCAGGATGCACGTCTGTCAGACTCAACCTAACTACAGCAGGGCTGAGGGAGGACAGAGCCAAGTGGTGGCTACCTGGGCAGAGGGACTCCAGGGCCAGAGAGTCTGGCGGGAGCCCCTACTGAGCTCTTTCTCTGCTCTCTCCCGCAGGGTCAGGACAGGGCCAGCCCCCTCTGCTCCAGGCACCTCTCTTACCTTGACAAACTTCTCGGAGGGGGCAAAGCAGCCCACACAGAGTGACACGAGGATCCAGCCGCGGGCATAGCTGCTCTTAGAAGGGTTGTGGGTGAGCTGCTTGCTGATCTGGCAGTAGATCTCATCCCTGTGCGGGAGGGGTGGCCTCAGAGGAGCAGGTGGCCCCTCCCAGCAGCAGGTCAGTCAGCCTGGCCAGCTTGCCCAAGACCATTCCGGAGGAATCAGAGTAGGGCCAGGTGGGGAGGCTCAACCAGGGCTCTGGCAGCCACCAAAGGGACAGGATCAAGCATGAAGCACACTCCTGATGCCAGCCCAGAGGCCACAGCCAGGGCCCCCATCTGGAGACCCACTCTGGGCACAGTGGCAACCCTGGGGAGAAGCACACCCAGCCCTGCCTCATCCCCGACCCACTGGGTGTCCTGGACAGGTGGTTTTGCTTCTCCAATCCCAGCCCGTAGTCAGGCCAGCAGGGGCAGCTCCTACCAGTGCCAACGGGTAGAGCAGGAAAAAGCCAGGGCATGTCTTGGGGGCGGGGTGAACAGGGATGTGCACCTATTTCTGTAATGCTTGAATATTTCAGTAGTGAGATTAAAACAAGGAAAGTAATTTTTTTGCTTTCATTTGAAAATGATCCTTACACGATTTCTGTGTAGAAAAATGAGCTGAGGCTTAGAAGGTACCTAGTATAGGGTCTAGCACAGACAGCCTCCAGTAAAGGGCAGCCGCCCCTGGTCACTGACATGGTGACATTTCTTCCATCTCCAAAACTGGGAGCTTTGCCTGCCAAGGGACAAGGGCAGACGCATACTGATGCAATCACCACCAGGGGTCGCTCCTGCTCCTCTTCCTTTTCCAAGGGCAGTGCCGGGCAGGAGGAGGGATTATCTGATTCAGTGGCTCACATATTCTGAGAGTTCATGGGTCAACAGGCTTTTAAATAAATTCTAGAAGTTATCAACTTTTTATGGTAACACATTGTGCAAACACAGACACACACACCCCACACACTACCCTAATCATTTCATAAAACAATGGCCATTTTAAATAGCCAAGGAGCAGGAAGGGGAAAATTACAGCAGAAAGAACAATCCTTTAAGTAAGCAAGTGTGGCTCTAGTTCTCAACTTGTCAGAGACCAGTGCAAACTTATCCCCTTCCACTGGAGTCTCCAACCTGACCCACCCACTTTACAGACTGGGAGACTGAGGCTAGGAAAAGGGAGGGGTTAGCCTTTGAGGTGGGCACTGTTGTTATTTCCCTTCACAGACTGGGAACCACAGGCTTGGAGGATGAAGGAGTTCGACTAAGGTCAAAGGATGAACCAGCAGCAGAGGCAAACAGAGACCTCATCTGTTGCTAAGGTGATGGGGCCACGCCCAGCCACCAAAAGGCCTCCAGGCCCTGTCAGGGAGCGTTGGGTACCCCGTGTACGGCATTGCTGCACCCCTCGAGCACTGACCGCAGCGTTGGCCGCAAGATGCCGTTGCCGATGATGAAGTGCAGCTTCTCCAGGTTGGAGGTGGGGCGGTCCTCCAGCATGCTGTTGCCCTGCATGGTGGACTCCCCGTCGTGCAGCCTCTTGGTCACCTAGGCCAAGGCGACAGGCGTGCCCAGGGCTGGTGCAGGTCAGGGTGCTGCCCCTGCCAGCCAGGGCCCCTGAGTCTATCGTTTCCCAGAATTCAGGACCCCATCTGGCCTCTGCCCCGCCCCACAGAGCAGGGACAAGCCCATATGGCTGGGAAGCAGGGGCTGGGTGCCACCAGCTTCTGAGACACAGCTCATCTGTAGCCTGCCTGATTCCAGCACCCCAGCCCCACCCCCGGGGGGCCCTTCCAGCCAGGATGGGCCCTGCCCCTGATTCTGAGCAAGACCCCATTTCTCTGGGATGAGCCCCCTCAGACATCTCTGGCACCATGGTGCACCCTGGGCTCCAGCCACCCACTCGTTAAGGCCCCAGACCTGGTTCTTTGGGGATGAGTGTCCCCTCTCGAGTCCCACACAGCCACAGCAGCATGCCCGGACTCTGCCCAGACACGGTGAGAGGTGAGGGGAAGGAGTGTGTGATGCAGATAGGACGGGCCAGGGAAGGGCCCCACGGCTCAGTCGCCACCCTGCAACTTTCTCCCAAGACCCCACGGACTAGGTGTTTTCTTGCCTAGGCCCCTCGGTACCCAGTACAGAGCTGGGCTTCAAATCTGACCCCACATAGCTGCAAGACTGGATTTTCACCCTAGGAAGGACAGGATCAGGGTAGAAGCAATGCGGGAGGCCCTGACCTTGAAGTAAGGGGTCAAAAAGCAGCTTCCTGGAGAAGTGAACCCCTAGGCAGAGAAGGAGGAGGAATTTCAGGTGTGTGTGTGTGGTGGGGAGGGGCTGGCTATGAAGGCCACAGCCTCTGTCTGTCCCACTTGGACCCCAGCAGTCCAGTGGGCCCTGGAGCACCAAGGCCAGAACAGTGCTCAGAAGGTGAGGGGGCTGAGTGAGGGGTTCAAAGCCACCAGTGGTCCTGATGCTCCATGAGCACTGTTACCACAGAAAGGTGCCCAGGTCTGAAAGGTCCTAGCACCAAATGCCACATGTGCCAGCCGGAGAGGAAGTGTCCTCCTTCCCACCATATGCCACCAGACCCTCACCAGTTCTGGCTTCCTGCTCCGGGAAGCTCCCCTGCTGCAGACTCCAGCCTCATTCGCCACCTTCTGCATACACTTCTACCACCCAAGCATCCACCACTGACTAACAGGCAGGGTTGCCCACTCCTGCAGGTCCCATGAGCCACCACCCCTAAGCTGCCAGGCCCCAGGTCTGCTCCCACCTCCTCCGTGAGCTTAGACTTCTTCTTCAAGGTCAAGTGCACCAGCTTGTGCCTCACGCTGCTCTTCTTCTGCCCTTCAGGGAGCTGGGCCTGCGGGACCAACAGAGATCAGGGGCAAGTGACTGTGCAGAAGGCAAGGACAAAATCACTGGGCAGTGGGACTGTGCCTGGGGTCCTCTCACCGCCACACGAATGTTTACAAGACACCGCACATGACCACCCAACCCAACAACGAGCAGATGGGAAAACTAGAAGTACAGTGACCTGCCCGGGTCTCCCGGTGAGTCAATGCAGGAGCTGGCTCTGATGACAAAGCCTGTCTGCTCTGCCGCTTGGCCCCTCAGTCATGCTCAGCACTTTACAGTTTGTAAAACTTTTATACTTTTGTTCCCACAAGCAGTCAGAGAAGGGCAGGCTGAGGGTGAGCCCTGAGCCAGGGGCAAATCACAGGATGCTGCTTCTGCCAAGGACCCCAGGCTGGGGGCCCAGGGAGGGCCCTCACTGGCCTGGGAGGGCCACCTGCCGGGGGCACCCTGGCCTCACCTCACCCTCTCCCTGCAGGGCCTGCAGCTCCCTCTTGTACGTCTTCTTGCCCAGGGTCTCATAAATCTTGGTCATCACGGGGATCTTCTCGCTGCCGTCACTCATGGCCGTGTGGTACTTGGGCTCCGGGAGGTCTCCCATAAACCGGAGGATGGTGATCCAGACAGCCAGCGCCGCCTGGAAGCACAGCACGTATGTTGGAAAGCTCTGGACATAACCTGGGGTGTGGGGAGACAGCAGGAGAACCACCAGCGCCAGGGTCCTGCCCTAGGGCCTAGGGCCCGCTGCCCGGGAAGCACCCACACTCCCAGCCCCGGCCCCGCTTGGTGCCCCAGCTCAGGCAGGCCTCACCAGCTGGTCACCCTCGTCGTCATGGTACAGCAGGGGCTGTTTGAGTGGCCGCCGTGTGTAGGAGTGTGTTGTCGTGCCCTGGAAGTAGGTGGCAGCGAACTTGGCGAATTTGTACTCGGAGAGGTCCTCCTCGTCCTCATCGGGCAGTGGCAGGGCTGCATCCAGGTCCTCCTCCACCATCTCCCTCCGCCCTCGCTCCAGGTCCTGATGGACACAGACGCGCTGCCTGCCGTGTGGGCCTGGCTCCCCGGTGGGAGGGCTGAGGGCAGACTCAGAGCTGGGCTGCCGCTCCCCAGCCTGTCCCCGCAGAGCCAGCTCTTCCTCCACGAGGGTGGGAGCTGTTTGTTGTCCACTGCCCAAACCGAGCCTGGCACATCATAAGCCCTCAACGGTGAGTGGACTGATATTTGAGGGTAGCCATGGAGGGGACAGTGACTGGCCCAAGGTCACCTGGCAGGCACCCGCAGTCCCAGTCCAGGTCAACCTTACTGCCCTCAGCTCAGAGGGCCCAGGTAGGTTTTCATGCAAAGGGACACAAGAGGAGGAAGATCCCAGTGATGACCAAGATTTATGAGGCCCTGGGCAAGAAGACATACAAGAGGGAGCTGTAGGCCCTGCAGGGTGAGGGTGAGGTGAGGCCAGGGTGCCCCCGGCAGGTGGCCCTCCCAGGCCAGAGGAGCCTCTGGAGCCTGACCCTAGTCTGGTACCTCAAAGCCGCTAGGTGCCTGGCCCTCCCGGCCCGGCAGGCCACCCGAAGTCCCCAGGAAGCCAAACATCTTGTCCACCATGTCCGAGTGGTTGATGGGCTCGTGGCGGGCCCGCTCCATGCGCTCCAGCAGCTCCTTCTTCCGCCGGGCCTCCTCCTTCTCCTTCAGCTCCCGCTCCGCATCCTCACGAGCCAGCTGGGCCAGGCGCTCCTGAAGTTGGGGTGACAGAGGAGATGGCATGGGCACCAGTGCTACAGCTCCAAGAAACAAACTCTCCTTGGGGCGCCTGACAGCCCAGCAGCAGCCTTGGCCCCCACCTCCACCACGCACACGGAGGGGGCTGTGCCTCAGCGCCCCCTGCTGGCCTTGCTGAGCACGGCCCTCACTGTCCAAGGCAAGCGGGCAGGTCCGCAGCACCTCTGAGCCACTGGAGGGCCCTGGACAAGCCCAGGCGGTAAAACTGCCTGTCCTCGGGGCTCAGCCCAGAACAGCTCCCCGAGCGCACCCGCTTCGTGCCACACCAGTCCCGCAATCCATGACCATGGGTCTGGGGCCCTGGACAAGCACTGCCCATGAGAAATATACCGTGAGCTATGCAAGTGATAGTCACATTTTAAGAAGTAAAAGGATACAGGTGAAATTACCTTACTAATGTTATTTAACACCTATTCCCCAAATACCATCTTAACATGTAATCATTGTATGAAAATAACACTGAGGCGTTGTGTATCCTTCCTGCTCCCTGAATCTTCAGAAGCTCTCACAGCACTGCCATTGGGATGAGTCATACTTCATGTCGGTAACACTGGTGGCCAGTGGCCCCCTTTCTGGACCTCTGCTGCGATCCCTGGGTCAGGTCTTTTATCCCCAGCATGGCAGGCACTGTGGGGTGCGGCCCCTCTTCTCTGGAGCCCCATCCTTCTGCCCTTTCGCCTGGCTCAGCCCCAGCCCCCAGAAACTGTTCAGCAAATGAGTGCTGAGCGGGCCTGGGAAGGGAGGAGGGCTGCAGGCACAGATGACAAGTGGCTGGCCATGGAGACAGGTAGAGTCAGCGAGCAGACGCTGGAGGTGCCCCTGTGTCCTCAGCTTACCTGATGCTTGCGCTCCGCCTCCTCCTTGGCCCTCTTGGCGCTCATCTCCTTCCGGAGCTTCTCCTCCTCTGCCAGCCGCATCTTCTCCGCCTCAAGGCGCCGCAGGTACTGAGGCGAGAAAGCCAGGTGGGCACCGGGCGTAGCATTTGTCACAGCACTCCCCGCCACCTCTACCCGCTCCCTGGGCTCTGGCCCTGTGAGTGGCTTTGTCAAGTACTTTGACAGATATGGAAACAGATAGCTGAGGTGTTCTCCAGGCCACACGTAGGTGGAGACACAGGGTCTCCTGAAGACACACAGGGGGGACTGGGGCCCCAGTCCTGTCTTTGGCAGGGAAGGTGGGAGGGGGGATCTGGTCCCAGCTTGTGTACTTCTCAGAGCAGGATAGCCACAGGTGCCCCCCGGGCCTTGGCTACACACAATTCTGAGGACAGGAGCCCTCACCTCAGCCCTGAGGCGCCGGTGTAGCCTGCGGGCGATCATGCCACGGGCATAGGCCTGCACGGTGAGCACGGCCCAGAGGCGGTGGCGGAAGGCCTTGCGCACCAGGTAGGCCCGGCATCGGGCCTGGAACTGAATGATGCGCCGGCGGGCCAGGTGGTACTGCTGGTGCAGCTTCTGGGAGCGATGCAGGGCCTGCAGCCTCAGGAAGCCCAGGCGCATCTGCAAGGACATGCTCATGATTAGAACTATGTCCCAGCCTGTGGCCCCTGACACAAGAGCCTCCACTGCAGTGGTCTCTACAGGCAGGCTGGCATCCCCCGCAAGGCCAGGCTTAGTCTCTGTCAAAGGGGATGATGGCCCTTATACTTTAGGCTGCTTCCATTGGGGGGAAGTTTCCTAGAGGGTGGCCCTGACTCTCCCTGAGATGGGCCCCTAAGGGATGAGATCAGCCTGGGACCAGGGGCTGTAACCAACCAGCTTGCTTCCTGTCCACCTCCCACCCCATGTCCAGGCTCCCCAAGGAGGGCCCTCATGACCTAGCGGATTCTGGTTCTTCAACAACCCTGGTGTATTCACGACCCTCCAAAACACTCCAGAAGAAAAGCAATGAACACTGCTGGCTGGTTGAAAAGAGCCACAGAATTAGACCTGGACTTCAGCTGGAGGGAAGCTAGGGGCTGGCCGGGTGTGCCGCTAAGTCCTGTTGCCCGGCTGCAAGGAGGAGCAGCAGCGAGGCTCACCAGCTCATAGTTCCTTCTGCAGTGGTGGCCCCGCCAGTGCCTCTGGATCAATGTGGCAGCGTTCTTCAGCTTCAGGTAGTTGGACCTGAAATGGCAGCAATGATGGGGTGAATCCCAGAGCAGAGAGCTGGGGTCTGGAGGCAGCCAGTGTTCAGGCAGCTCGGAGTCAGGACCGCATACTGGGCCTCAGCTCTGCGACACCTCAGCTGTGTGACCTTGGGCAAGACACAGAAACTCTCTGTGCCTTAGCATCTTTATCTGGAGAAGAGGGTAGCTGAATGCCTGCCATTCCTGTCTCACAGGTGCGTTGCATAAACCCATTAAAGTAGATATTCAAAAGGTGCTTGGTAAGTGAGTAAATATCATATAAAACTGAGCACTTGGAACCATCACACTTGATCATTTTATAGAGGAGAAAGTTAAGACTCGAGGTTGGAATTACAGCCCATGTCTCTGACTCTGAGGAGCCCTGTTATTCTGCTTATACACAGTAGGCTGCTTCTTCATGGAACAGTAATCTCCAGTCTGATGGATGATGGAGTCCCTCACTGCACAGCCGGGGCCTGCTAAGAGCTGGGAAAAACAGAGGAGGAATGAGTGACGGACACCATGAGTGCAGGCCACGCATGCTTGTGCTTGTTTCTGGGAACGCATGTTTGTTCCTGGTGCTCAGGTCAGACAGCAGTGGTGACACACATGCGCGTGCACACGGGCCAAGGTGGCAGGGCTGGTCAGGGCACATACCTGTCTTTGAACCCTCGGATGACCTTCTGCAGGAGGATCACCCGGTCAGTGATGGCCTTGTCCCGCTCCACCTCTAGCAGCATGTCGTGGTGGTCCTGGAAGGCAGCGTCCCCAGTGACGTCTCCTCCAAGGGCACCGGCTTGGTCCCAGTGGGCACTCAGTTCCTTCACTCAGAGCCCAGATCCCAGTGGGGCCCCACAGACTCCTAGGCCTGCTCAGGCCCCACAGAGTCACTCTGACAACACTAAGGGTTGTGGCTGCTGCCCAGGGCCCCAGGTGGAACCAAAGGAGCAAGAGGAGCTTCATTTCACTGGGTGGGATGAGAGGACCCAATATGCACATATCCTGGCTTTATCCCACTGCCTTCTCCGCCCAGGGCCCTCCACCGCTAGCTATCCCAGGACTTGGGCCTGGCCGCTGCCCTCTCTGTCTAGAATCTTGACAGTAGCCTCCTTCCCAGGAATCTCCTGACCCCTATTACTTCCCCTGTGGTCCTCCCTTACATTCAGCCAATGACCCCTCCTAAACACAGCCCTGATGGTGACCCAGTGACACATGGGCTTTTCACCCTTCATCCAAGATCCCCCCAAGATCCAGGCCCTGCTAATACTTCCAGCCCTTTCTCCTCACCCCTCCCAACCCTCACTCCTGCTGGATGACTTCCTTGGTCCATTCAGTAGATGTGCACACCTGGCCCTCTGAGCCAGCGCTGAGCTAGATGCCCGGGTGGTGTCTCAGTGGCCCAGGCAGACAGGGCCCTGCCTCTGGGCAGGTGAGAGTCTCACAGGGGAGCCTTGTCTATCAAACCCTCACAGATACACAGGGCATGGCGGAGAGGAGCTGCTCAGCGTGGGATTTCATCATGAGCAATGAATGAACGTGTGAATGAGTCTCGGATCTTTATTCTCAAAACACCGCCACGCCTGAAAAGCCCAGAGAAGTAAGGCTGGGCACCCCTCTCTGAGTTCTCTGGCATTAGATCCCATCACACGTCCATCCTGCTCCCTCTGCGGACACTGGGGCTGGGCATGAGCCCGTCGCAGGCCGGAAGCCCTGCTCTCTGCTTCCCAGCTCCCTGACCGTGGGCCATGCATCCTCCTCTCTGGGCCTATAAATGGCCAGAATCCTCCCTGCTCCAGAGTTGCTGGGATAAGTGAGATGACAGAAGGAATGCCCCACGCAGACATGGCGTAGAGAATGTGCTTTCCAGCCCACGGTTATGGGTTACACGGTTGGGGGCGCTGGCACATTTATTCAGCGAGGAGATGAGGGCTTGGGGAGGGAAAGGACTGACTCAAAGCTCCTGGGCTATGAGGAACAAGACCAGTTAGTCCCCAAATGCCCCAGCTGTGGGTTGGGTCCTCTCATTCCTCTGCCAGCCATCCTAGCCCTCGACCCCACCCCCGTACTAGCCAGAAGCCCTGCCCTGCCACCCTGGACAGGCTGAAATCTAGCACAGCAGAAATGGAAATGGGGAAGGCGGTGCTTCCCCACTGCAGCTGCCCTGGCAGGGCCCACTCCCAGCAAGTTCTTCAAGACCATGACTCCCCAGGCCCGGCTTCCTGCCCCTCCTCCATGACCCGGGCAGCTGTGGGCACCAGGAGCTCGAGCTGCTGAGCTCAGGGTGCCTGGGACAGAGTCACAGACAGGCAGCATAGCGCTGACCACAGCCCACAGAAGCCTGCCCAGCAGGCAGCCACAGGAAGGGACCTAAGATACACTCCAGACCATCCCAAGACCACACACCCCAAGACCATCCCATTTTACTGACAGGAAAAGAAGGTAACAATGGCCAGTGACTTGGCCAAAGTCCCTGTGCTGATAAACACAGGATTAGGATTTCAATTCAGGCCTCCTGCTGTGCATCTAACAGATAGAGGGGCTCTGCCTTCAGCTTCTAACCTGGGGTCAGGGCTGTGACCCGAGGCCTAACCCGCCGTGCAGCAGCCTTTCAGGCCCCGCCCATGACGGGAGGCCGGTCCCAGGGCAGACCCGGACAGAGCCTGTACTCACCTTCAGAAAGATCTTGGTTTTGCCAATCTGCCAGTCATCATGGGTGCCCAGCACCGCCTCAGCAATGCGCTGGCATGTCCCCCGGAGGTCGCCCTGGAGAGGGGCACAAGAGAATGGGCAGCTCTGCCAGCTGGATGGCCTCCCAGCATTCTTGGCCCAGTTCTTCCCTGACTGGCTTCATAACCCCAGCCAGGTCCCAGCCTGTCTGCACCTCCACTTCCTCCCTATCTCAGTCTGATGATGATCACCATGGAATTAGAAGCCCTGTGATGTGTCCCACTGCCCGGGTCCCACTTTTCCCAGCAGTACTTGACAGGTCATGCTCAGCTCACCATCCCAGTGTGAGACCCGGGCCCTTGCTCTGCCAGAGCTGGGCCCGTCCCTTCCGTGATCTGTGCACTGGGCCCCGCACCTGTTTGTAGGCCGGCTTCACACCGGGCAGCAGCACACGATACCGCTCCACAAACTCCACGAAGCTGTAGCGGATGGGGTAGCCTGCGCGGCGGATCCGGATGGTCTCCATCATGCCTGAGTAGCGCAGCTGGCGCACGCACAGGTGCCGGTCAAATAGCTGCCAGGTACAGAGCCAAGGGCATCAGGGCGGGTGGTGGGTACTTTGCATAACCTTGGGGAGCGCCATCCATGTGGCGGCCATGATGGATTGGTGGTTATTCAGACAACATTCTAGGATTTTGCTCAGAAAAGCTGAGTAAAGTGTGATGGTCAGGTCTGTGGCCCCTCTGATTTCAAAGGGCCTTGGTACTGAGCTACATCCCCAGCTCTTTTTATTTTTTAATTTTTTTCCACTAGGCAGGATCTCACTAGGTTACTTAGTTGCACGGGCTGGGCTCAAATTTTTCAGTCCTCTTGCCTCAGCTTCCTGGAGTGCTGGGATTACAAAGTTGTTGTTTGTTGTGATGGTCACAGGGCAGAACCAGCCTGGGGCTCAGAGGGAGGATTCCGAGAGAAAGCAAAATGCAGGCCCTGGGCTGCAGCTAGACTCAAAGGCAAGGAGGGAGGCTGGATGACGGGAGCCCGGGAAAGTCTGGGGCAGGGAGAGACGCTTGAATTTGCTCTTGAGAACATTGTCACTCCAGCAGAAGGGGTGGTAGGTGGCAGGGGGCAGGACAGGAGGCAGAGAAGGCAGGAGACTGGTGATGAGACTGTTGCCAAGGTCCAGCCGACAGATGCCAAGTTCTGAGCTGAGAAGAGTTCCCAGGGCATCTCAGGGCCAGAGAACTGGTACCCAACTGCCCTGGCCTCTATTCTTCTGGGCTCCCTACACTGAGCTCAAGAGAGCCCTCTGCCCCTCAGACCTGAGTCCTAAAGGGGGCAGGCCTCGCCCACACTGGAAAGTGATTTCCTGTCAGGGACAGTGTGTGCAGATAGTCAGCCTCCGCAGCAGCTTCCTCTCCCTCAGGCCACTTTCCCCGCCTTCCTTCCCTCCCTCCCTGCCCAGACCTCCTGGCCCAGCTTTCCCTGGGCCTCCCCCAGGCCTCTGGGTAAACAACACCTCTCACCGCCTGGCTGCGGAAAGAGAGGGCTGCTGGGGTCTGGGCTTGAACTCTTAACACCCCTGAGTCCCCATCCTGCACTCCAAACTGAGACACAATTTCCTGCTCATAGGCCATTTGCAAAAGCTGAATGAGGCTGTCCCAGGCACACAAAAAGGGCCCAACAAATGTTATTTTTAACAGTCAAAAAAGAGGAGGGTCCCAGTTGAGGAGCCGGGGGCGAGGGGCTTCCAGGAGGAGGAGGGTGGAAGAAGGAGGCCTTCAAAGGAGGGGCAGCAGCATGAGCCACTTGGCTGTTCACGGAGCACCTACTAGGGGCCAGGCCGTGTGCACGCTCCAGTGATACAGCTCAGGAGATGGGTGGGTGTAAGAGGGGTCCCGTTTCCACCCACAGTGTACTGAGGCCTCGGGGGAGTAAGTGACCTGTCTGCAGCTGCCCAGCTTGGAAGTAGCAGAGCCAGGACTTAAATCGGTGCACCTGCTCTTGCAGTGTACGGGGGTCTTCATAAGCCCCCGGGTGCCCACCATTCCCCCAAACAGGACAGAGTCTTGCATCACCCACCTGCCTTCATCCCACCCTGACCCATCCCACATGTCCCCTCACTGCTGCCCGGCCAGGAGCACTCACCATGGGCTTCTTGAACTCATTGGGCTTGATGCAGCGCACGAAGAAGGGCTGGCAGGCGCCCAACGTGCGCATCAGCAGCTCTAGCGACCGCTTGAACTGGCTGCTGAGTGTGGGCGAGCGCTTCCTGGTCTCGGCGCCCTGGGGGGACGGACAGACTGCGATGGGAGGGGCTGCGCCTGGCCCTCCCGCCCTCCAACAGCTGCCCTGATAGAAGGGAGGGAAGCTGGAAGGGAGGTCGGCTGGGTCAGGCCTGAGGAAGACGGCTGGGGAATCAGGGTTTCCTGTGACCCTGCTTCCCTGCTCTGAGCTAGAGCTTGGGCCCCAGGTGCCCCCTTCCCAGGGAGTCTCCCAGGGCCTCCCCGGTACCCTCTCGCTCCTTCCTCCTCTGGTATGCTGGAGCACTCCTGGCAAGCCCCTCTCTAAGTCTCACAGGTCACCTCAGGACCCTGGGGTCATCTTAGAGGCAGGAGCTATGCAAAGCTAAATTCAGACCCTGGCCCACTGCTTCCAGGCTGTGTGGCCTTGGGCAGATCACCAAATGGTGAAGAGCTTCAGCCATCCAAGTAGAAAATAAAGTCGTGTCTCCAACAGGGCAGAGAAGAGGGTCAGAGGTCAGGGTGTGTTTCAAATAACAGCAACTTGGGATGGTTCCTGGCCTCTAGGAATCGCAGGGGAGGAGGAAGGAGAAAGAGAGGGTGGGCAGATGGCCTGTGACCTTCCTGCTGGTGGGATTAGCTGGGTGGTAGCAGGTTGGGGAGGGGGCAGGGCGGCCCTAGATACTCCTCCTAAGAAATGGCTCCTCCAGGGCCTGTGGCCCTAAGGTGCCCAAGGGCTCTGTGCTCCTCCAGCTCTTCCTGGGTGACCAGTTAGCCAGCCCTCTGCACCCCCTGCACTTTTAACATTCTCTTCCAGAAAATTATGAAATAAGCAAGGAGAGGGCCTAACAACAAACAAATAGGATGGGAACCTTCTCAGCTGACAGAAACCAGGTCTAGAACCCAGGTTCATGCCACTGATTTCCTAGCGACTTTCATTAGAGTGACAATTTCTTATTAGTGTATCTGATCATTGCTGTAAGATTTTACAGTCTTAGAGCTGTAAGTTCACTGTGTGTCCTGTAGCACTTGGTCAGAGGTGCAGCTGTAGAAGTGTGAGGTATCTGGGGAAGAAGGCATTTAGACCATGCTGAATTTAGACAGTGTGCCCCAGACTAATGAAACCCACCAAGAAAGAGCAAGTACGCACAATTCTAAAATATAGTGTTTTCTAGTTTAGTTTTATTTGGAAGAGGTCCCTGGGTTGTCAGTGAACCTGATCCAGCAGCAGCACCGGGTGACCTCCCTCCTGCAGGAAGAGCTGCTGGGTTGGGCTGTACCCAGCCTCTGTCACTGCACTGCTGGGAGGCCACAGGCACATGGAGCATGCACACTACACGAGCGCACACGCACGCGCACACACACACACCCCTTTCTTTGGTTTCAGCATGCTTTCGTTCTATCTTCTCTGCCCTGTCGTGAGCCTCTTGAGGGTAGGCTGGTCAGCCTCACTCCTGTGGCACCAGGGCCTGGTACGTATAACAATCATCACTTCATTCAGCTGATGTGCTGTGGACCTGGTCCCGAGCGCTGTCCCTGGGCTCGCAGAGCTTTTCACCTCCCAACTGTTCAGGCCCTAAACCGAGGACCCACCCTCCATGCCTCTTACATCCAATATATCAGCAAATCTTACCCGGCTCCACCTTTGAACTGTCTCCAGAACCTGACCCCTACTCAAAGCCCTCCAGTGACTCTCAGTTCACTCTCAGGAAAACAAGGCCCAAGTAAGGACCCATAGTCCCCTCTCCCCTCGACCCCCAAGAATCTGCTTTCAGGGACCTCTGCTCTCCAGCACCTGCTCATCTCCTTCCAGCTACTCCAGCTCCTGGCCCTGCTAGGACACAACAGGTAGGCTCAGTGCAAAGAGCACCTCAGGGTTTCTGCACATGCCACCCCCTCTCCCTGCAAAGCTCCTCCTCCAGCAGCACGGGGCTGGTGTCCCTGGCTCCTGCCGTCTTCCCGGGAGGCCTTCCCTGAGCCCTATACAAAGCCACAGGGGCTGCTCGCTCCTTCCTGCCTCCCCCGTCTTCCTCCATACTCTTACACCATCCACAATGTTTTACTTGTTTATAGGCTTATAAACTGTTCCCTCCTTCTGCTAGACTATGGTTCATGACATATTTTTTCCCTAATTTGTCCACCACTGAGTCACCAGGGCCTGGACCAGGGTCAGACATATAACGGTCACTCAATAAGTATCTGTAGATTGAATGAATGAGCAAGTGAATGAATGAATAGGATCTTTGAGGCTATGGGATCTGCCCTCACATCTTTTGTCATTTGGGTTTCTGATTTAGTATTATTTCTTTGAGGGAAAGGCCATTCTTCCTGGTATTGTTTTCTGGAAGAATCTGCAGACGTTTGGGAATGGGGTGAAGAATGAGCCCATGTTAAATGGCTCTGTGGAGGGGAACTAAGAGAAGACACCTGAGCATGATGTTGGTGTCTGGCAAGGGGCAGACAAGTGACAGGTAGCAAGCCACCTGTATAAGGCTTAGACAGGTGTCCTGTGGAGAGAGGGCCCCAGGGCACGTGACTAGGGTCAGCCATGAGTCAGGGAACACCCACCACCATGGGAGAGCTGCCTTCCTCTGGGCTTCCCTGGTTCCTTCAGCAGGGATGGGTGGGGTGGATAGGTGGTGGCCCTGGGCACCTGGGGAGCGCATGTAAAGCCCAAGCATGAAAACTCTGGGGTTGGGGACCTGTACAGATGGGCACGGAGATGACAGGAAGTGCCATGGGCTTTCATCCCGACAAAAGCATGGCGACAATGGCACCGTCATCGAATAAACTGTGACTCAATGCTTCACAGTTAACCCGGCCAATGTCCTTCCCCCTGTAGAACAGTAGTCATGTTTCCAGCACTTACAGAGCATTTTTATTTCCTGGATGTGACATTCCCAGATTTGGCAGAGTATGACGCAAAGACATGGAAAGCCTTACTTCAGTGCTCACTTGTATGTCACAAGGCCTGGCACTGTGCTAAGACAGACAGAGCTGGGTTCTAACTCGTGTTGTATCGCAAGCTGTGTGACCATGAGCAGCCCTTTTGCCTCTTTAGCTGTGAAGTTAGGGTTCTGGTATAATTACCCACCAGGTTGAGTGGGGTGACTGAGACGGTAATGTAAGTGCCCAGGAGAAGTGTCTGGTACCAAACCTGTCACTGCTATCCTAACTCTCTGCCCTCAGGACTGCGGCCATTCAGGACAGCCTGGGCTCCTGTGCCTAGACCTCCACGTGGGTCCTTGGAAGATGGGTGCTCATCTCAGGGAGGAGAGAGCCTCCAAACAGAAGCACAGGGAGAGGCGCCAGGTGCTTGCAGGAGCTTTGGAGAGACAGAGGAGAGAGAGCTGGGGCGGGAGAATAGGCAGGTTCACACGGAACACAAAACTGAAACCAAACTAGAGGAGTGGACAGTGGCAGAGCGGTCGGGCAGAACAAGTGAACAGTGGGTGAGAGCTCGGGTGGCACCCATCTCTCTACTGTGTCCCTAAACATGTGGGCTTTTGGACTAGAACCCCCTGGGGTGCTGGAGCTTCAGATGCCTGGAGCCCTCTCTCTGAGGTTGGCGCCGTGTGCACCCCATTATCTGGCTGTGGGGGCATTGGGATTGCAGAGGACCAGGGTGATCCTTGGGCCAAGGAGAATAGCTGCTGTCTAGACAAGCTCCCTACTCCTGGCATGCTGGCTGCCCTGGTCTGCTGCTGGGTGCTGTGAGCTGCTCCGGAGCTCCACGAGGAGCTAGCAGCAGGGGAAAGGAGGGCTCAGCATCAGGCCACTTGTAGGAGACGTCATCACTGGGCAGAGAGGACGCTGAGGTTGAGAAAAGGAGGCATGCTCTTGCTAAGGGCACCTGGCAGCTTTGGGACCTGAAGCACTTGGAAGCCATGACCTGAAAGCGGTGGTCAGCACACCCAGGTGATGGTGGCTCCCGGTCCCAGCACGCTGTGTTGGAGTGAATCACACTCCCTCCCTGACCTCAATCCCTCACCTGCAAAATGCAAAAAAGACCACATGCGCTTCCTCTTCGCAAAGTTATCAGAGGACCTGACCAAGTCGCCAGGCTGGTGGGAGGAGCAGGAGACTCAGGGAAGTGGCGCAGAGGGGTTAGGAGACCTGGGTTCGAGTCCCAGCTCCGCCCCTGGTTCACAGGACGCCTGAGCAAGTCTTGCCCCTCTCAGGACTCAGCTGCTACCTTTCAGCAACAGAGATGCCTGTAGCACACACAACATCAACAACAGAAAACCAAAACCAAAATCCACAACAAAAACCACTTCACAAAAAAAAGAAAAACACTCCAAAAAAGTAGCAAAAGCCCAGCCCTTTACCCATGGGGGCTGGGCCTCTTCCACTAGGCCCCAGGCTGGGGCTTTTACCTTTGCAGAAGCCGCTGCCTGGCGGAGACTGCCGGATGAATAACCACAGAGAAACTAAAGGGGAACCACAGGAAGGTGAGATGGTGGGGAGAGGCTGAGGACGAAGGGCATCAGAAAACAGCGTGAAATCTGCCCTGGAGAGAGGCAGGCCTTGGGTGAGATCTGAGGTCCCACCCTGTGACAGCTGGCAGCCCTGAGATCACTCAGGCACCTGAACAGTGCCTGAGGGCTGGAGGCTCTGCCCTCCCCAGAAGCCTTTCCTTGGTACCTCCAGGGAGCCACGGGGCAGGAGGAAAACTATGAGATAAAAAGGCAGGCTAGGTATGTAGCTTGGGGTATGCACCTGCTTAGCATGTGTGAGGCCCTAGTTGGCTCTCCAGCACTGCAAAAATGTAAAAATAAAACTAAAAAGTATAAACAATCCGGCAGAAGGAAAGTCCACCAGACACCAGCTGGGGCCTAGGGAGCAGGGGCAGTCAGTCTTCCACCATCTATGTGGGTCCAAGGTGGCACCACACACCCCTTGTACCAATGACTGCGTGCCACACCCACCCTGTATCCTTGAGGCTGGGATTTTCATTCCTGTTAACGGCTGGAGGCCCAGGGGTAAACTGAGACCTGACCAGGCTTGGCTCTGTGACCTCTCACATGGCTCTTCTCTGGGGCTTATGCCCAGCCACACCAAAATTAGCATAAGGGGACCAAAGGAGAGCATCTTAGAGGCCTCTCCAGGCCCCTCCTGGAATTACAGCAAAGCCCTATCATCCCTGTTCTGCAGCCCAGAGGCCCAGGTGAAACTGTTAGACGGGGCAGGACCTGACACAGGCCTGGCTTTGGGGCCCCTCCCGCCCAGCAGAATCCCATGGGGCCTTACCATGGCAACATCAGCCTGGAAGATCTGCTTGATGAACTTGTTCCGGGAGGAGTGGACCAGCTGGATGATGTCCCCATGCAGGGTGTCCCGGTTCTTCTCCAGGAAGCCTGGGCAGTGACACAGAGCAGTCACACCTCGCTAGCTCTGGTAGCCCCACCACGACCGCCAGACTGAGGCCTCCCCCAGATCCACAATGTCTGAGCCAGGAGGATCCTCAGAATTCACCTAGTTTAACCACATCCATTTCACAATAGGGCCCACTGGGTCCTGGACAGGACAGCATCTTGCCCAGGATCCCAGAGAAAGTAAGGAGCCATCTCCCCAACCACACAGTCATCCTTCCAGGCTGGTCCCAGAAGGGCAAGAAGTCTTGGTCTCCAGGAGAGAGAGAGGCCACCTTCCTGCGTGAACCACCCCAAAGCAAAGAGGGACCTTTTGAACTAAAATCAAAGCCCTTGTCAAGTAAGCGTGTCTCCTGGGACAGGATCCATTATTGATCCAGTACCAGATAACAGTAAGGGGACCCATTACAAGCACCTGGTAGTTGGAGAGTACGTTATGTTTGACAAAGTCCCTCACGGTCTCTTGCATATGTGGGGAAGCGGGGCAGGGATTATCTTTCCTATCCTACAGGTAGTGGGAGGGAGTTGAGAGTTGTCCAATACCATACAGCAATCCATGCCAGAGCTAAGATTTGAACCTAGGATAGCTGGGGCCAACCCAGAGAAGTACCCTGTGCCAAAGAGTCCTCAAGTGAATGGCTTGAGGACTGGCTTGAGGACATGGCTGCCATTCACAGGGACTGAGGAGTAGGGACTGGTCAGCAGGACTTCTGCTAGGGTGGCACAGAAGACGGGGTGCTCCCTTCTGAGGATGCCTGGAGGGGTGGCCCCACAGAGCAGAGGACTTGGGCTGCTTGGATGGTAGGTGACAGAGATGTGGCTCTTTCCTATTATCTCGCTGCACATCCCCAAGAGCAAGGAAGATGCAGGTGCATCCCCTTTGGCACTCACACTTGGCCTTGCGGCTGGGAGAGTCAAGTGGGTAACAGGGCTGCTTCCTACTGGTTGTGCAACCAGTCAGATGCGCCAGGGCACGTAAGGACAGTCAAGCCCCCTCCGAGCCTGTCATCTTCTTAGAGCACTGCCCCCGAAAGGATTGAAGGCAGGGACCCAAATGGACTCTGTGCACCAGTGCACACAGTAGCATGACTCACACCAGCCAAAAGGTGAACACAAGCCGAAGGCCAGTTAGAAGACGAACATGGAAAGAAAACGTGGTATTGCCATATGATGGAATATTACTCAGCCGTAAAAACAAAGGAATTGATCCAGGCTACAACACGGAGGAAGTCACTATATAAGTGGAATAAGCCAGACACAAAACACAAATGCTGTATGATGCTGGGAGCATGGCATGGTCACATGTGATCATGCATGGTCACATTCACAGAGACAGGAAGTTGAATGGAGGTGATGAGGGTCTAGAGCGTGGGAGAAGGAGAGGGGTCGTTGGTGGGTGCAGAGCTTCCATGCAGGGTGACAAAAAGGCTCTGGAAATGATGGTGTTGACAGCTGCACACCTTGGAAATATACTTAATGCCACTGAATTATACACTTAAAATGGTTAAAATGAGCCAGGCGCGGTGGCGCATGCCTGTAATCCCAGCACTTGGGAGGCTGAGGCAGGAGGATTGCTGTGAGTTTGAAGCCAGCCTGTGCTACACAGTGAGTTCAAGGCCAGTCTGAACTTCATAGTGAGACCCCGTCTCAACAAACAACAAAAAAATGGTTAAAATGGTAAATTTTATATTATATACACTTTCCTACAAGTTTTAAAAGTATATTTTTAAGACCTTTGGAAAAACAAAAGACGAACACTGAGCACCATGTTTCCCAGGCCCCTTCTCTTCCCCACTGTACTCAGGACCTGGAGGTCTTTTTCTTGGGACAGGAATGGAGAAGGTCAGGCACAGGCAGAGACAGACAGACAGACAGACGGCCCTCTCATACCTTGGGTCTCATAGTAGACGACCCCTGCAAAGTGGTTGATGCCAAACTGGGTCTCATGGTTGTTCTTGGGGGGCACATAGTTGGCATTGAGTTTGTGCTGGGAGTTGAGCTTATGCAACATGGTGGTGTCAGTGCCCTGTGGGAGCAGAGGGGCCACTGCTGAGCTGCCCCCCTCCCCAGAGCCTGCTGCCTCTTCAACCCATGCCTTGTGCCCCTCTTATGAGCTTACACCCACACAGGAGCTCCCTACCTGTTCAGCAGGCAAAATGGAACCTCACAACCTTGAAAACACATTCCAGCCTGCAACATTGATTCCCTGTGATTAAAATCCTGGCAGCAGCTCCCCCTCCCCCTCCAAGACACACGCTTGGACTTGAGCGCCTATTCTACACCAACTGTGTGCTTAGATCTTCACTGTTTGGTCCCGGACCAAGCAGATGGTCGCTGATTCCCACTTGTCAGATGGCTGCTGCCCTAACACTGGTCCAGAGGCACCCTGACAGGCGGATGTCATTGGTCTCATCTTGCAGATGAGGAAAGCCCAGGCTCAGAGTGGAGAAGGGACCTTCCTGCTCCCCAGCCAGTGGGCGGCAGCGGCGCTGCTGGGACTCACCTTGGGGAACTTGCTCTCCTCATCGATGAGGGAGATGATGTTCATGGGTTTGTTGGCGATCATGTCCAGGGCGTCCTGGTTGTCTGTGAACTCGATATGCAGCCAGTCGATGCTCTCCAGGTCGTACTCCTCCTGCTCCAGCTTGAACACGTGTCGCACGAAGAACTGCTGCAGGTGCTCATTGGCGAAGTTGATGCAGAGCTGCTCGAAGCTGCAGGGGTGCAGGGATGCGTGGGGTGCCGCTCAGGCCCTGCCCTGCACTCACTGCCCAGCTCTGTCTCTCCTGCAAGGGACCCTCCAGCCTGCAGGTTGGGGTGAGGCTGTCAAGCCCACCCTCCACCTACAAAAGAGGGTGCTGGTGTCCAGCAAAGGCCAAAGACTTGCCCGAGGTCACTCAGAGTGTCTGAGGAGAGGCAAGGCTGGAAGCTGGGGTGCAGGCCTCTTTCCCTGCATCACTTGGCTTCGTGGGAAACCCATGAGCGCATGAGGGAGGTGTAGAGATAGCAAAGGTGTTGCAGAAAAGTGGGAAGGAAGCAGGCGGCAAGACTGGGCCAGCAGAGCCTGACTGATGCCTCAGCTAAGTTGGGTGTGTTTTGGGGGAGTGAGGTGTGGGCTGTGTGGTCAGGGACAGGGTGCTCTGTGACACCTGAGCATTACAGGAATTGACGTGACTCCCTGGGGTCACACAGCTGGGAAGTGGAGCAGGGCTGGCTGCCTCCCATGCCAGGATGCACCTGTGCTGGCTCCATCCTTCAGTCCCTCACATGGTCCCCAAGGGTGCAGTGCTCAGGGTGACTGAGACCCTGCTGCTCAGCTTCACCCAGGTCTCGTGTGCCTCAAGGCAGCCTGCAGCTGAGACACTGGGCAGGTCAGCAGCACCCATGGGGCCTGCACACCACAGGCTGCCTCCCAACTGTCTGAGACAGGTAAGGGCCTTCCACCAACCTGGTGCCTGGTGGCCTCAGCTGACCCTGGGGAGGGGAGGGAGAGAGGGAAGGGAGAGGAAGGCAGAGAGGTCCCCAAGGTAACTAAAGTCAGAATTCCCAGCAGCCTGGCAGGGAGTGCAAGGAACCAGCTCAGTATGGCTTAAAGGGAAGAGATGAGACTTTTCCCACCGAGCACAGGCCCACGTGGTACCTGTTCACAGCAAAGTTCTCAAACCCAAAGATGTCAAGGAGGCCGATGGACCGGCGGGAGTTCATTTCCTGGGAGGGTGGCTTGTAAATTGCTGCGTTGATCTTGTCCACAATCCACACGAACAGACGCCCGTAGATACCCTGAAAGGCAGGCACGTCAGCCACCGATCGCAGCACACTGTCCTCTGTGGACCCATGGAGGCCTTTGGACTCACTGCGGCCTCACTCTAGACCAACCGTGGAACACTGGTCTCCTGAGAGCCCTCTCCTGCTCCCTGTCAAAGCTCTGTCCCGGTATCAGCTCCTCTGAGCCCCTGCTCCAGCTCTGCAGGCTGGGAAGGAGCCACCTTTGGGCTCCCGCCTCAGTCTGTCCGTCTACTCTGAACAACTCAAAGGTCCCAGAGCCCAGCACAGGCCTGGCATAGGCTGGGCACTCAGGGAGTGGCAAATGTGTGACTGCAGAATGGGGAGGATTAGAGGCCCTGCCACCCGATGCAGCCCTCTCCGTGTCTCCTGCAGAGAAGTGGATCAGACCAGACCAAGGGGCAGGGGCCTGAGGGCAGGCCCAACTCGAAGGATCCTTCTCAGCTGTGCATCAGCAACCCAGCCTCCGGAGGGGGCAGAGAGCAGGCCGCCACTCCACAGCAGCCCACCTTGACGAAGGCATCTCGCACATCCAGCGCCTGCTCCCTGCTGAGCGGGGTGGACACGGTCTCCCCACGGGTGATGAGGGTGCGGCTGGTCAGGCAGCTCATCAGGTCCGGGGGGTTCACCTGGTGCAGACACATGCAGTGCTCACCCTGGCACCTGTGGGCCTGTCCCTCCCTTTGCCCACACCTGAGCTCCCTCCCTTTCCAACCTGGCCTGGCTCAGACTACCAGACTCCCCCACACTCAGAATCCCCTTCCCCATGGCATCAGCCAACCTCCCAACCATCAGAAGCCATCCAAATGCCTGGAAGGACTCCTCTCCCGGACCGCCCTCCTCACCGCCTCCAGCTGTTACCTGCTCTTCCAGGCCAACCCGACTGACCTTATTCACCCGTTTTCCAACCCAGCAAGAGCCTAGTGTTTGTTAAGTGACTGGGTAACAGATTCCAGGTGCTCGACCCACAGACCCCATTGTTCTTTACCCAGATGTGTGGACTAGGGCCCAGAGGGCAGGAATAACTCAGCCAGGGACACAGCCCAGGGTGTCACAGGGCCCAGCCCAGGCCTCCTGCACACAGCTGGTCCTTGATGTTGAAAGTGACTCTCACAGCCAGAGGCCGCCAGAGACATGGTTCTCACTACCCCACTGGGCTGGAAGTCAATACCATCCTCACCGGGACAGAGCAGGGGTGGGAAGAGAAAGCAGGCACTGACCTCGAGCAGGGATGCAGCGGTGGCCAGTGACGGAGAGAAGAGGACCTCGCAGGCATCCAAGTTTTCAAATGTGCGGGCTGCCAGTAGCAAGGGGCTGCGTCAGGGTGGAGAAGGGGGCACAGGGGCAGGCCTAAAAGGACTAGGTTTTCACAGCCACTCTTATGACCCTGTCCTATCATAGAGGGCCTTGGTACCACGGTTAAATGCATCTCTGGGTCAGTATATAGCGGGTTAATGTTCACATGGGCACCACGTGGGGAAGGACCCGTGTGTATGCCAGCACCATTCCTGGCCTCCAAGCGACCCCAACCCGCACCAGTGCACAGCTCCTGCAGCCTCCACCCCAGACCCTCGGAGCTCTGGGTGGCAGCCTTGGCTCCTCTGAGACAAGCTTTGGGAACTTGCCCTTCCCAAACGTGCTCTGCTCTCTCAGGCCTCAGGACCTTTGCAGAAGCTTTTCCCACTGCTTGATGCACCTTCTTCTTAGTCCTTCAAGGCTCCCTAGCCTGGCTGCCTTACTGCTGAGATCACTGAGTGAAGTTCCCAGAGCTCCCACTTTGCCCAAGACTGATACTGGGAAACAGGCAAAGAAAGGAGTGGTACTAAGCCCAGGACCACCTCCCATCCTTGTGTGTCATGATGCCAGGGAGTGTCAGAGAAGTGAGTGTGTCCCTTCCCTGGCCTTCCCCCTTTCAGAAGATGCTGTTTGGTCACTCACACTTTAGTATGAATTATTTCAAAGATTTATCCTTTCTCTAAGGTGTCTGACCTTTCTAAAGAAGAAACCAATGGGGAAGGGGCCTTAGGGGCCATACTCAACTCCCAGGGCCCCTCACCAGTCGACCTCTAGGGTGGAATTTCTACACAGCAGCACCACCCGAGGCTGAGACATCTTCGAGTCTACCTGCAGGGGATTCTCCCTGCTGAGGGTACGCGCTAGGCAGAAGGCGCACCGCCAGTTCCCCAGGGGCACAGGTGTGTCACTGCCCTTGGTGCAGGCAGCACACCGCGCAGCCTCACCCTCATACTGCAGGTTGCCCAGGTGCAGGATGGCGGCCAGGAGCTTCGAGATCTCCCAGTTCTCCGTGTCGGTGAACATGAGCACCTTCATGGCGGAGCGGATGTTGGCATACTCCTGGCTGTCCACCCGGCCCTCGCAGGTCGTGCAATTGCCCTGCGACGGGTAAGGCAGTGAGAAGTGGGTGTCAGCGAGGCCATGGGCACCCCAGAGAGGCAGAGGCTGAGCTGAAGGGCCCTTTCTGCCAGGCCGGTGTGGGGCTCCTGGCCCTGGCCCTTGGCGTGAGCAGCCTCTTCCAGAAAGTCCAGAGAGCTTCTGCTTGGGTTCCTTGAGAACTCAGCCCGTCTGGGAGTCCTGGATGCCCCTTCTCCCCGAGACTGAGATGAGCACTGATCCCAGGCCTGCCCACCACCCACCTGGCAATCACAGCCCCAAGGCCCCACACTGCCTTCTGCAAGCGCTGGAGACGCCCACCCTCGGGGGCTTAGCCCTCACAGGTGCAGCCTGGTGTGCACACAGGTGAAGCTGGCAGGTGAGTGAGCTCCATGCTGTGCACGCGTGTCCAGCTGTGACAGCCCACTGCGGGAGTGTCCAGGAAGGTCCATCACATCCACAGCACACCTCCTCGGGTGTCTTAGCCCACACTTGCGTCCCCTGCTGAGCTCTCCCCAGGGATACAGACGCGGTGCTCCCTGAGTCAGTCTGCAGTGTACGCGGCCCCAGAGCCCCTTACCCAGGACTGGTGGCACAGATGGCCCTGGGGCCACTTCTCCTTGGTGTCCAGACAGCTGCAGCAGCCTGCCCTGAGCCAGCCCTCAGGGCTGAGACCTCAGGAGCCTGCTTCCTAGGATCCTGGGCGGCCAGGCAGAGAGCCCAGTCTTTGTGGCCTCAAAGACAAACACATGGCTTATATGTGTGCACACGGACACGTGGGTGGGCACGTCTGTGTGGCCCTGTGTCAGACGTCTACGTTTAGAAGTGCGCCCATTCTAAGAATTGGTTTAGATGCCTGTGCCCACGTTCAGGATCAGCAGTGTGACACCAACAAGCCTGGGGGCGCTGGGGCAGGCCAGGGAAAGAGGACCCCCAGGGCGCTTCCCACCCAGCAGGCCGCAGCAGGGCGGGGTCGCGTGGGTGGCCTGCATCGGCCCCTCCTCTTCCCCGAGTCTCACCATGGCCAAGTAGTTGTAGTCGGTGGCCTGGCCCAGGCCCAGCTTCTTCTTCTGCTCCTCGCTCATGCCCTCCAGCATGCAGTAGAAAACGTGGTAATTGCGCTCATCCGGAGCCTGAGTGTGCGCACGGGAGTTGGGGGAGAGGACAAGGGTGAGTCCACAGGGGCCATCAGGCAGTCAGGCGAGCAGGGGCAGCAGAGAGAGGGCGGGCATACAGGGCAATGCAGATCGGGGCACCCACCCAACCCACACCCCAGGCCGGGTCTGTCCAGGGAAGGAACCAAGTCTGATTCCGCACCCTGGGTCTTGGACCTACTTGGCGACAGACGCGTGACTTCTCCAGCAGGTACTGCTCAATCTTGGCTCCCTCGATGGCACCCCGCTTGTTGAAGTGGATGTCGATGTACTTCCCGAAGCGGCTTGAGTTGTCGTTGCGGATGGTCTTGGCATTGCCAAAGGCTGTGGGGTGGGGAGGGGACATGGCGAGGCCAGCCCATCCCGGCCTCCCGGCCCTGCCCTCAGAGCCCCAGCACTACCTTCCAGGATGGGGGTAGCCTCCAGGACCTGCTGCTCGATCCATGAGTGCTGCCCACTGATGGCAGCCAGGAACTGCAGGATCAGCTTCGTGCTCTCTGTCTTCCCTGCTCCGGACTCCCCACTGTGGAGACAGGAGAGCCAAGACCGGCCTCGGCCCAGGCTGCCATAGCCTGAGGCTGCCACTCCCAGCGCTCCCACCCCTCCCTGCTCCTATCTGCAGTACTGGCTGGCACCTGGACCCTGCAGGGCTGCGGGAGAGCTAAAGAGCTCAGGGCTGACTCTATCACTTCCTTTAGACACCCCTTGTTACGGCTGTGTCTGGATGTCCCACCAAAGCATCATGTGGCCATAGGTGGGGGTTTCTGGAGGTGGCTGGATCATGGGTGTGTGATGCTGGGATTAAGAGTATGTGATTTTTAAGTTAGTCCACTGATTGATTTGGCACAGTTCTGAGTGTGGATAGTGGGAAGGTGCATCCTGGGTTTGAGAGCTACCGCCTCAAGGGCATGTAACCTGGACAGAACAAGGCTCACTGCTTTACTATTTCTGCTGCTGCTTTGCTGCTTTGCTGTCTCCTGCCTGCCATGAACTGTTTTTCTTCTGCAGTGGCCCTCCGCCATGTGCTCCGCTGCCTTAGAGCCAATCAACTACGGCCTGAAGCCTCTGCAGACTGTGGGCCAAAGTAAACCTTTCCGCCTTTAATTTTGGGCGTCAGGGATTTTGTCTCAGCAATGAGAAAATTAACTAAGACACCCCTCCCTCCATTCCTGCCACGGAAAAATGGTGCATATTAGATGCTCAAATTAGTGCTTTGGTTTTTTACCCTCTGGCCAAGAGAAAACAGAAAGTTAAGACTTCATTTGAGCACGGCCATGACTTCACAGGAGCCATAAGTGAACAAGATTGGCCTTCAAAGGTAACACGAGCTCTGGTAGCACTAACAGGATCTAAGGCCTCCGGGAGGGGAGGTGGTTCTACACTGTGCCACAGCACAAAGTGCATATGTGGTCCTGAGGAGCTTCCTGGCGTTTCCAGCAGTGGAGTAATTCCTAGCAGCACAGCAGGAGCCCAGAGCTTCAGCTCAAGAGGTTAAGCTTGGAGCTCCATGCTGGCGCGGGCCGCCCACCTAATGATACAGCACTGGTCTCTGCTGTTGCGTTTCATGTTGAAGTAGCAGTTGTCGGCGATGGCAAAGATGTGGGGCGGCATCTCCCCAATCTTCTTGTTGGTGTACTGGCGGATATGCTCTGGTGAGTAGATGGAGAGCAGCTGGTACGGGTTCACGGCCACCAGGATGGAGCCTGTGTACGTCTGCGGGCAGCAAAGGAGGGTGAAGTCATCCTCTCCCACGTGGGAGGCTCCGCCCTGCTCTTCTCTGCAGGAAGAGCGTTGGCTTTGCAGTCTTGTGACCTGGGGTGGACTCCAGGCTTCTTAGGAGCTGGGGCGGGGCTTTCAGACGAGCTTAGTTTAGAATCTGACTCTGAATAGCTGCTCAGTGACAGTGAATGAAGAAAGGAGGGGAGGGTGGAAAGGAGAATCTCAGAGCCTCAGTTTCCTTACCTCCATCTGTAAAATGGGCATACTATAATTTTATGGAGAGGAAAGGAAATGCGTATTTTTAATTTACAGAACACAGCGAGTACATCTCCAATATTACCTCCCATCTTTGCTCCCAAGCCCTGCATCCCATATTTTAGAATGAAATTCATAAACTGGACCATGTCCAGAGGAGATATCGGGTTGGGGAGGAAGCAGGACACTGAAACCGAGCCATAAAGAGTTGCAGGGGCTGGGGTATGTGGCTGAGGAGCCAGGTCCTGCAGCACGGCCCCAGGGTGGAGGGGGCCTCTGGCTCTGAGGGACAGAGCACCTCCAGCTGTCTGGGTGACTTAAAGGCCCCACAGTGCTTTCTGTACAGGGCTCCTCTCCAAGGACACAGAGTCCACCCGTTGGCAAGACTTGCTGTCGTGAGCCCAGAGCCCTGCCATACAAGGACGGCACACCCTGGTGCCCCGCCATCACGACAGGAGAGGCACTCAGGAGTCGCTCCTCCATGCTCTGCCCGCATCCCAAGCTTGAAAAGGTCAGCCTGTAATTGGTGATAGATGTAATGACAGTGGAGGCCAGTGAAGCTGAAGAAAGACGTGTCCAGACAGGGGAAGTGACAGCCCCACCCGCCCCACCCATCCACCCAGGGCTCCGAGCACGACAGCGGAGCCACACCATACCCAGCAGCCTCCGCCTGGCACGGCCATGCAGGGAAAGCATGGCCGCAGCACCGCATGCCAGGGGAAATGCCCACACAGGCTGGGGGCCATGCAAAGCGGCCCTGGGCTGAGTGGAGAGACCCAGGCCCCAGTCATGCGCTTCCTTCCCTACTAAGCCTCTTCCCGGTGCCCACAGCCAGACCCAGCTGAGCCTCACTGTGCCAGGAGCCCAGCCAGGAGGAGAAGAGGGCAGGGCAGGGCAGGGCAGGGGATGGGGGTGGCGGGCCAAGCCAACAAGCCAGAGAGCTTTTGAGGGGGCTCCCCGCACCACACTCACCCGCCCGCCACAGTTGGTCTGCGGTTGTACAGGGCCAGAGAGAGCAGGTGAAAAGGGAGCTGGTCAGTGGACATGGGGGCAGTGACATTGTGCGCCACAAACAGCGCTGCTGGGCTGAACAACTGGGTCGGGCCTGTCAGCTGCGGGAACCAGGAAGACTGCTAGGGGTGCAGGAGAACCAGCACCAGACTGGGAGTCAGCTGCCAGCACTGTCCCTTTGGCAAGCCTCAGTTTGCTCCTCTGTAAAAGGGGCTGGTTAACATCCACCTCCCAGGGTCGTGGTAAAGACCAAAGGGCAAAGCTGTAACCTTTGCCCGGTGTCTGGTGCCCCTTTCTCTCCTAATCTTGCTCAGGAGTGTGATGCTCAGCTCTCCAGGACAGGAGGCTGACTCCACGCCGCCGTGCGGCAGCTGTTTATGGAGATCTCGGAGCAGCTGGGCTGGGGGAGCCCCTGGATTCCTCCAAGCGGCCGTGGGAGGGTGAGAGCCCATAGGCTGAGCAGTGGGTAAGGGCAGGGAGGCATGAAAGGGCATGACATTTGGGAGGTCTGCTGGGGAAAGGTCACGGAGGATGAGCAGCTGTCACGGAGGCTGGAGGCAGACAGAGGAGGGGGCCAGATAGGCTCAGGGCAGGGGGACCCTGAGAGGCCACGGGAAGACTTCCTGGGGCTGGCCCTCGTCCTCCACTCATGGCTCCCGTGGCCCACGCCAGCCTGCCCACTGCCTGCAGGGCCCTCGGGCCTTGAGACTGTCCACTCCCCCGCCTCCTGGAGGTCCCTGCCTGTGTCCACCAAGCTGTCCACCCCAGAGTGCTGCTTCCGAGCCTGCCCGCACAGCAAGGGCCCCGCCTCCGCCCTTGGCCAGGGCAGACTGGGCGGCCCCGCAGCACCTCCCTCCCCTCCTCCCACCTGCTCGCCCTGTGCCCCACCCCTGCCACCACCACCCCTCAGCAGACCACAGCGGGCTCCCCAGCCAGACCTCCCTCGTGGGCCCCGCCTCCGCCCTTGCCCCACACTGTCCTCCACTCAGAGTCGGGCACTTTAAGAAGATCTGACTGGGCGGCCCTCTGCTGGGAACCCTGGAGCAGCTCCCCACAGCCTCAGGACATTTCCTTGCCCCCAAGCCTGCCACCTGCTGCCTTCATTACAGCCCTGAGGCCCCCTCTGTAGCACAAAACCCACACACACCCGCTCCTGCAGTCTCTGTGCTTCCCCAACCCCTTCAGCCAGCTAATTCCTCCTCATCCTTACGGCCAAGCTGAGATGACCCCTCCTCCAGAAAGCACGAGCCCCCTCTGGGGCCCACCATACTCTGTATGGTCCTCTCCTTGGCTTCCTGGGCTCATCTATGGTTCTGGGTCAAAGCCTTTGCTCCCCCTAGAGCCTGGCTGTATGCACAGTGCGTAAGACACGCTCTGCAGTGTTGGTTGAATGACTGAAAGAGTGATTATATTAACGGGCTGAGTTGACAGCATTTTGACTGCTGTCCCTAGGAACTAGCAGGGAAGGGGGGTTGTGGAAACCTTTCAACAGCCCGAGGCAGCCCCAGCCACACTGCAGGAAATATGGCCTGGGACATGGCTGGCAGAAAAGGTACCAAACAGTGTGACAAGAGGCACTCCATCTTTGGAGAAGAAAGAGAAAAACTACATGCGTAGCTGCTCTCTTGGAAGATCAGTAAGAGGTCAATGGCAGTGGTCCTGTCCTGGTCAGAAGGGAAACTTCTCACTCTGTAGCACACAGAGTCATCTAAAAATATGTACGAAGGCCCGGCATGGAGGTGCAGCTGCCTGTAACCCCAGCATTCAGGAGGCTGAGGCAGGAGAGGTGAGAGTTCCAGGTCAGCCTGGGCTAGGTTGGCAAAGCCTTGTCTCAACACAAAAAACAAATAGACAAAATCACCAAAACCAAGGCTTTTCCAGCTTGGGCAACTTAGTGAGACTCTGGCTCAAAATAAAATAAAAAGAGCCGGGATGTAGCTCAGGGGTAGGGAGTTTACCTAGCGTGCACTAGACCAGGGTCTAATCCCTCACACTGAAAATATAGCAAGAGCTAACTGAGCCTCTTTTCTCAGGAAAGGACAAGGCCCTCCCTAGCAGAAGAGCAAGTACAAACCAACTGCAGTGAGACTTGGGGGCCCGGGACTCTGCGGCTCCCTCTTCCCTCGCCTCTTTGCTAGAAGGCTGTTGGCCGCATGTTCTCCCCCTCATACGGACAAATAACCTCCCAGAGTGGAGGGCCCAGCCAAGGTCACCCAGCAGGTACCAGGGAGTGGGATGAAGGAGGCACCCAGGGACGCACCAGGGGGCCTGTGGAGCTGAGGTGGCAGCGGGGCAGAGGGAGGGGCTGGCCTCTGCTGGCAATGCCCATCGGTCCTGTGAGGTCTTGGCACTGCCCCCCAGGCCTCCCTCTGAGGGTCCAGGACATCACAGAATCCATGTCCCCAGCGCGGCAGAGGCCTCTTGCTCGATTTTCATAGTAAACCATGCCCAGGGAGGAGATAAGAGCTATTCACAAGACGAGGACAGAGTCCTGTGGTCCACAGGGGCCCCAAGTCCCCAGGCAGAGCTCAGTGACCTCTAGGAGGTGAGAGAGCGGTGGCAGGAACCAGATCCACCTGCAGCTCCTCTCCTCCAAGGTGCCCCAGCCTGTTGCCCTGGGGACTCCTCCGTCAGCACTTGGCAGGCCGTAGAGACCAAGAGCCACCCTGGGACGCATGCAGCTGCCCACAGGTGCAGGGGTGCTCTCCCCATGCAGGCTCCCGCTGTGTCCACCGGAAGGCTGAGATCAGACGGGCCCCAGCTCCTCCAGCCAAGACCTGACCATGGTTTCCCGCCTCCCAGACAGGCTCCAGCCTCTGCCCACATCAGGGAGCCCGGAGTCCCCACTGCTCTGCCACCTGTTCCCCCCAGGTCCCAGGCATGACCATTGGCCCCTGGGGCTACCCAGGGAGGGGCTGCTAGGTGTCCTCTGAAGACCCTCCCCCACCCTGGGGTGCCCAGGGCTGATCAGCAACTGCGGGGTGCTCTCCCTGCAGGTGCGTCCTGGGGATGGATCTGCTGGAAGCAGGAAGCCCTGGGCAGACAAAGACAGGGCGTCCAGTCAGCTCCAGGCCGTGAGCCGGTCACGGTAACCTGAGCAAATCCTGGGTGCATGGGGCTGTGCTCAGCGTAACTCAATCCATGAAGTGACGGGGGTTGCCATGGCTAGGGACAGGTACAGTTTCTAGGTGGGACAATGACCTAGATGGTTCTTTAAAGCCCTCTCTGGTCCTCGTCCCCCAAGTCACAGACCCATGGACACAGCAGGGTGAGGAAGCCTCTCTGAATCCCCACACATCCCCAGGCCCACAGCCACCAAGTTTCGGGCCCAGGAAGGAGCTGAGCTGGGCCTTTCAGGTACCACAGCTGGATTCTGGCCAGAGCCCCTGACAGAAGGCAGCCTGCTCACCTCACCTTACCTGGGACCTCTCCACCCCCACGAGGGCTGCTACCCCTCTTCCCCCTGGAAGAAGTCAGAAAGGTTAGAGGGCCCTCTTCCCCTTCGGACAGGAGAGTGGGCGCTGGAGTCGGGCCTCCACACAGGGACAATGACGGCACGTCCGTCAGCTTTGGCAGCGGCCCCCCAGGCAGGCAGGTGGACAGGCGGGCTCTCCGCTCACCACTAGAGTCCTGGGGCCATCTGGGGCCCCTGCCCTCCAGGGAGAAGAGAAAGGATCGAAGTGCCAAGAGTGCCATGCAGACACAAGGAGGACCTCCGGGATGTGTGAGGAGCCCCGGCCCTGGGCTTCAGTCCTCGCTCCGCCCCAGTGACACTGAGCATGTCGGGAGGTGCCAGCTGCGCCGCCTCTGAGCGCAGATGAGGGCTGAGCAAGGGGCGCAGGGAGGGGGCGCTGCCAGTACCGAAGAGCTCCCCACAAAGGCGCTTGCTGGGCCCACATGGTGGGTGTTGCTGCCAGGGCACAGTCTCCTCTGGGGAGCCAGAAGCCGCAGAGACCTCAGGATGGTGGCCAGTGGCCTCTGAGGCAGCTGAGGGAGGGGTCCTAATTCCAGCACTGCTAGCAGGACTGGAGCCCAGGTCCCTGGGGTGCCTTGCTGTGATTCCTCAAGAGCAACTTCCAGGTGTCCCTCAGCCTCCGCCAGCCCCGGCTCCTGGGTCTGACAAGCTGAACCACTGCCCGGCCTCCAGCTTCCATTCACGCAGTGCCCCTTGCTGGAGGTGTCTCTGCCAGCTGACCTCATCCACCCCCAGGAGTCTGCTGTCACTCCCACAGCAGGGGAGACTCTGCACCCTGCCCACCCTCAGAGCCTGCCCTGACCTCTCAGTCACTCATCACCTGTACCTCCTTCCTGCCCACCCGAGCAGGCCATTCGCACCCTCTGTCTGCGCCGGAGGTTGGGAAAAGCAGCTCCACCCCGCTCATGGGACTCCTTCTTGCACGCTTCCTGTCACGCACTTGGTCTCCTTCACCCCAAACTGCTGTGGGTGGAGCTGGGTCAGAAGCACGTGGTGACCTCAGAGCACAAACAGCTCTGGGCCTAGGCCGGCTAAACCTGGAAAGCCTCCATTTCCCTGTCTGTGAAATAGGGCTACTGCACGACAGTGGTTTTCAGAGTATGCAAGGAGACCCCTGAGGCTCCCACCTGCCCCATCAGGAAGCATGGAAGGTCTTCTTTTTCCATCTGCAAGTCTGTGAGGCCTTCCAGGAGTGGCGGTGCACACCTGCCACCCCAGCTACCTGAGAGACAGAGGCAGCGGGGCTGCAAGCTCAAGGCCAGCCTAAGCAACCTAGAAAACTTAGTGAGACCCTGTTTTAAAACAAAATTCTAAAAAGGACTGTGGGTATAGCTAAATAGTAGTGTTTGCCTAGCATGTGTGAGGCTTTGAGTTCAATCCCCAGTGTCTTTCTCTCCCTCTCTCACACACACACACAATCTGTGAGAACAGATTGTCTCCATATGGTCCAGCCAAACAGCACATCAAACTGCATGGAAGCAGACATAAAACCGAGCCAGAATTAAATAGAAACTTGTAAGCAATACCACTGCGTTTGCTAATTTTTTATGTTGACAAATATAGTTTCTCCCCCATTAAAATATGCTATGCTGTAAAGAATTCATTATGCCTTCTTTTTTCATTACTGAAGATTGAACCCAGACTTTCACACTGAGCTATATCTCCAGCCCTTTTCATTTTTTAATTTTGAGACAGGGCCTCACTATGTTACTAAGTTGCTCAGGCTAGATTTGAACTTGTGATCCTCCTGCCTCAGCCTCCCAGAGTGCTGGGAACATAGGCTTGTGCCACCATGCTTGGATCCTATTATGGTTATTTTTAAATGAATTAATAAATAGTACTTAAATTTCTGTTTTTTATTTGTTTTTTGTTTTTTTTTTTCCAGTACCAGGAATCGAACTCATGACCTGCACTTGCCAGCCAGGCGCTGTGCCACTGAGCTAAATCCCCAGCCCCTTAAATTTCTGTTTTAATTTAAATACAGTAAATTCAACAGATATAGTCCACTTAGAGAGTAGCTCTTTGGGGTCCTTGATAATTCTTTCCCCTTTCTCTTCTCTACCCACCCCTTCTAATTCCCCTTTCCCCATTTTCATTCTGGGTTCTTGTGGCCGAAAGGCATGAGAACCTCTACACTGGCCTCCAGGGCCTATGTTCTGCCATCCTCTGACCCACCCTCTTGGACCACTGCTGTCCTTGCTGCTTTAGATGAGCTTTGTTTGTCTCTGAGGTTTTGATGTGGAGAAGAAAGAGGTGACTGGCCAGAATTCAAGGTTTTGAGGTCCTGCTCCATCCCCTTCCTGGGGATGGACGCTCCTTATCTGGACTCTTCTGGCTTGAGGGCCCAGCGGCAGCCCCAACCCCACAGCAAACGCCCCATGTCTGCAAATGTCCCCTTCCCCCACCACCACCCTGCTCCTGGCCGAGGTGCTAAGCTTGCCACTCCCTGAGGCCTGACCTCCCAGCGGTTTCCAGGTCTACGCAGGCACAGGAACGTCTACTGCTAACAGCCCCTTCCCTAGTCACATGCCGCGTCGGCCCCGCCCAGGATGAGCTTCAGGCCTAGTGGCTGTGGGCACCGAGTTCTGGGCAGGATTCAGCGGCAGAGCTGTGGCCGCAGGAGGCCGGGCTCCTGGCCGATACTCACGTAGATGAGGTGGTCCCGGTAGCGGATGAGCAGGTTGCGCAGGATGCCTGCCTCATTGAGGTCCCCCAGGCGGATCATGTCCTGCACGCCTTGGATGGAGGTAGGGTGCATGGGCTTGATGTGCGTGGCGTTCTGCGGGGAGATCCAGTGTTCCTGCGGGGGCACAGCCCTACCGTCAGCTTGCTCCGGGCCCAGGCTGTGATGCACGTGGAAAGGGGCCGGGAGCAGCTCACTGAGGCCAAACGCCGTCACTTCCAGCAGGTGAACTTCCGGGACGGCAGGTGGACAGGGCAGGGACTCGGCCCACCTGACAGTGGTCATTAAGGTGCTCACACTCCACTCCCCCAGTCGCTTTTCAAGGTAGAGTATAAAGTGCAATAACTGGAGTCAGACGTGACTTCAAATCCAGTGTCCAGTAAACACATAACATAGAAAGTAATTTCAGAGAAGGCCAAGAGCAAACACACAGGCATGTACGATGGAGAACCACAGAGGGAGCTGTTTAGATAGGGTGCTCGGGACTACCTCTCTAAGAAAGTGGCATTTGATCTGAGCCCCAAATGAGGAGAAAGAAACCCCATAAGAAGAGGCGGGGACAGAATGCCAGCCCTGGGAAACAGCAAGAACAGCAACTTCGTGTACCGTGGCATGGCATGTCAGAGGGAAGCCCACGCCACAAGGGGACATCAACCTCCAGGGACATACTTCACAGGGCTTTCTGATGACATATGGAGCAAGGGAAGAACTGTCTGCAAGCTGAGGAGGACCCGAGGCAGGTGACCTTTCGCTCCCCCTACTCTCCCCTGCAATATTCCTTGCGGCCACCAGGTGGCAGGCGGGCACATCCTCCAGCTCGGAAAAACCCTCGGTTCCTCCAGCCCTGGGAGCCGCCCTCCCCTGAGGGTCTCCAGCACTATCTCAATTCCAGACTCTTCTGAAGAGAGTTTGACCTGTGCTCTAGGGCGAGGCTACAGCGGGACTGGCGTTCCACAGCCCTCCTAGTCCCAAATGCCAGGACCCAGGAGCCTGGAACCAGATAGAAACAGACAGCTGAGTGGTGGTGGGGGGGGGTCGGGGAGGGGGGGGCCTCTGCCACCACCCAGCCCAAGCCCTCAGCCCTTCCGAGTGGAGGCTCTGCATGCTTCACGTCCCCCCACACTCTGCCTTCTCCAGCTTTTCCAGCACAACAGCCCCCCAGCTGGACTCCAACAGAAATCTGGGCATTAGTCCCCCTGCCCCATCCAACTGGCACCCAGTCCTGCCCATGCAGCACCAAACATTGATAGCTACAGCCCAATCCAGAGCCCATCTCCCCCCGGGTCATCCCTGGCCTCTTGGAGTACGGTGGTGTCCAGGCCAGGGCACACAGAGGGAACGGATCAGGTAAGTCAGCCAGGGCCCCCACCCCAGCTCCACGACGTTCTGTGGCCAGGAGATTCAGTCCAGGTCAGGCCTTCACCCAGCCCTCCTCAAGTCCTGAGGGGCCAGGTGGTGAGGTCAACAACCCTGCTGGACTTTCCAGTCCCACGTGGAATATTCCTTGCTCCCAGGTACCCTATTTCTTGATAAAAGCTGATCCATTTGGAAAATTCCCTCTACCTGTCCTCACTCCCACCTCGTCCTAGGCCCAGGTATGGGAGGAGGGGAAGGGCTCCTGCAGCCCCACCCTCCGGGGCTTGGCTCCTCCCAGGATGGCTCAGCACCCAGGCTAGGAGGCAGCACAGCTGTCACGTGCCAGGAGCCCTGTGCAGGCCACTTGACCTTCTTGAGCCTGTACGGCTCCACTGTAAAGTGGGCTGACGATGATGCCTTCTTCAGGGGCTGCTGGGAGGACCGTGGACACAGCAACAGCCAGCCTCTCTGGACAGCCTTCTCCTGCCCAGTCTGTGCTGCACTGGAGCCAGGAAACGCTCAACCAGTGTGGGGATGAGTCCTCTAACATGTTTGGTTCTATGAAGACAACGTATGCTCCAATTCATCCCTCATAATGTTCAGTGACGGAATTACAGACCCCGTTTAATGGTGACAAGTCAGACTCACAAGGTGAAATAACAGCCAGCCAAGAAGCAGAGCCGGCCACGGCCCCCTCCTAGCCGAGAGCAGCAGCCTGGGGCCAAGGTCCACGGCACTGCGGCTCAGCTCAGGGCAAAGTGTAACCAGGGCAGGACTCAGGCCAGGCCCAGAAGGAATGCCAGAGACACTGGGGGGAGAGGGAGAAACAGGGAAGAGGACAGGAGGAGAAGGAGACAGAAGAGCAAGCGACAGCCAGAGAGAGAGAAATTGATTAAGACAGAGACAGAAATACAAATAGAGAAACAATAAACATGGATCATCCCAGAGCTGAGGACACGTTTGAGAAAGAGCCGGCTGGGGCTGCAGCGGAGAGGCGAGGTGCTGCGCGGAGGGAGGGGAAGAAGGAGGGCCCTTCTGCCTGGAGAATGGCCTCCGAGGTTCCAGCGAGGGCTGGAGCCATAACCTTGCGCACAGGCTTGCCAGGCAGCCTTCCCTGGTAGACGCCCTGCTGAGCTCTGGGGAATCAGATGTGTCTCGCCCAGTGTCCCCTTCAAGTTGCTGGGAGTCCCCGGAGAACACTGGTCCAGACTGGGCGGAGGGACAGCGACGAAAAAGGGGCCAGCAACCCAAGGGCCAATGCCTCGGAGGCAAACCCCAGCCTTCCTAATGTGTCCCCTGCCAGCTCTTCAGGCCCCTTCTGCAGCCCGCACTCTCGGGGCCTGGGGGATGCAGGTGGGAGAGGATCCGGTGACACAGAGTTACGGGACACCAGCTGACATGCAACACAACCCAGGTGAAACCTAAGCCTGCAGCCAAAGTCCCTGGTCCCCACCCTGGGACTCCCGGCAGGTGCACAGGTCTGACTGCGCTGCCAGCCGCACCTGTGTCCCCTCCTCTGTGACTGAAGCCTCACAGTGGCTTCTTAGGCGGTCCTGGAGCTGCAGCCTCAACAAGGATGCTGTAGGCCCCTGGTTCCAAAGCCCTGGGGACAAAGGTGTGCTTAACAGAACCTGAGTCTCACAGTTGTTACTGAGATACTCATGCGTAGAAACCAGAAGTCTTGGGTTCCTAGCTGCGTAACGACTTCTCAGTGTCCCCGTCTGTCCGTGGGAGAAGCGTTTTAGCCTATCCTGCCTTCCAAATGCAGTGAAGTTCCAAGGACAGAATTTGGGTCAAGGGACTTTGCAAACCCTGAGGGGACCCCAGCTCACTCCACATCCACCACCCGGCCCAGAGGCCCCGGAGCTCTCCTCCTCCCAAGCAGAGCCTCTGTTCCAAGTCCCTGCACCCTATTTTTCCTCTCCTGCCTCAGACTAGGCGCTGACACAGGGACTGAGGCATAGCTCCGCCCCAGTGTCACACACATGCACACGCATGCTGTACACATGCTCAGAGGCCCCAGCTCCCCTTGTACAGAGCACTCATCTTCCCCAGGGCGGGGCCCTGGCTTCAGACCTCGCCTTCCCTGCATAAGGCCCCATTATCACCACCTGTCAGGTCTACACTGCCTATGTCCCCTTCCTTCTGCCCCCCAAGAGGCCAGGGCTAACCTGTGAGCCTGACTCCCCGGGCAGGGTCCTGTTGCACAATGAATCCATCTGATGCCACAACCGGAGAGAGCAAGACTGCAGGAATTCACAGACCCATGAGCCCTCGGGCTGGCAGTAACTTCACCGAGGTGCTCTGTATGTGTGGTCTCAGGGGCCAACAGCCCCAAGAGAAGGGATTATCTGCATCTTAGCAAAGAGAAACTGAGGTTTGGAAGGGAAGGAAACTTGGCTAAGGTTGCACAGCTAGTAAGTCAGCACGACGGGATTTGAATCCTGTCTGTCTGCCCTCGAACGCTCCCCGGCCTGACATGTTTTCTTCAAATACTGCGCTGAGTGGATCAGGTGCTTGGGGAAGTGGAATAGGCCGCCTGGGCAGAGAAGGGAGGGATCCTTCCTGCTGGAGGCACAGGAAAACTGCACGGCAGAGTAGGTGTCTGAGAGGCAGAAGGGGGAGCACAGGCCCTGAGTGGCTCCATCCTCCCACTGCAGGTCACGTCCTGGCCCCTGCCCTGGGGCCCTGGCAGCCCTGCCCTCCCCAGACGTGAGGGCTGGCAGAGGGGTCGGCTACTCACATTGCCTTCGTCGTCCACCACCTGGATCTGCCCAGAGTCGCAGAGCTTCACCACAGCCCCGATGGGCACGTCGAACTCCTGCCCGGACCGCAGGTCCATCCACACGTAGTCGCCCTGTGGGTGAGGGCCCAGGCATAAGCAGGGGCGGCACCCATCCCCGCAGCCCTCTGCCCAACCCCCGTACAGCTGGAGGCTCCGCTCCGACCGGGGGAAGGAGAAGCAGGGAGCTGTGCCGGGCCCTGGGCTGGCGCTTCCTTGATGTTACCAAGCCCTCTTGTGGAGCAGCCATTAAGCTCCCCGTTTCACAGAGAGGTAACAAGAGGCTCAGAGAGAAAAGCCAACCACACAGCAGGGCAGCTCTCAACCCGGGCCTGCCCAAAGCCCGGCTCCCTAGGACCTACACCGGGCAGAGTCACTGGGGTTTGGACATAAACACCAAACCACTCCAACCACTTCCTCTCTGTCTTCAGGAGGTGACTCCAGGACCCCAGGGCAGATTCTCAGCATCCTAGAGATGAGTTGTGTCCGTACACGGCTCTGTGCTGGGCCATGCTGTACACCACCTTGTGAAGACAGCCCTGACCTTGTGGGGGAAGGTGCCACTTTTACGTCCCCTGTATCATGTGGCCTGGAGCCTGGTTCTCAGTACACACCCCACAGACCAGGTCTAAAACTCAGTCAGAGGAATGGGCTTAGAACAACTACATCCAGTGCTGATATGCTAAACACGTATTCAGCACCCACTGAATACAAGATGCTAATTGGTCTAAATGCTAGAGACGGACCAGAGACTGTGGCGTCTACATCCTAGTTGAAGGAAACAGAAAATAACCACTGGAGCAGGTATATTATTAACATGGTCCCTTTGAGTACTGGTGAGCGCTGTGAAGGCAGTAAGGACGCCAAGGGTGGAGGATGACAGAGGTAGCTAGTCTCAGACTCAGGAGCCTCTCTGAGCTGAGACCCAAAGAGTACGAAGCTGAAGGAAGAAAGGGCAAGGCTTAGTAACCTGGAGGGGGGGGGCATGTGCAAAGGCCCTGAGGCAGGAAGAAACAGCAAGGACGCAGTGGAGGCAGGATGTCCTAAGAGTGTGGGAGGTCAGAGAACCCGAATTCAGGACAGTAATCAGGATGCAGGAGACACAAAGATCCTTTGCCCTTGGGACAGAAGACTGGATTTTATTCTAATCTTAACATGATTTTGTGGATGGTTCCCAATTTAGAAATCTGATAAAAATATCACCTCATATCAAGTAACAGAAATGTAACAGCTGATAAAACTCATTCACAACCACCTTGTGGGCGTGGCCCAGTGGAAATGGCTCCAGGCACTGAGTCAGAAGAGGCCCAGGTGAGACGTCCTTCACCCCGCTCTCAAGCCTCTGATCCTGTTTCCTCATCCCACTCCAAGGGATTCAAACGCCAGATCGTGGCTATTTCAGCCTGCTGTTCCTGTGAGAACCTCAGTTCATAGAAACGGGGCCTGGGTACGTCGGAAACAGGCCCAAACCTGAGTTTGCTCTCAGGATAAGAGAAGCTGGAGGAGCTGCGGGGGAGGAGGGAACGCATGCGCAATGAGTCTCCACGGCGCGCTGCAGCTCCCCGAGCTGCTCCCCACGTGCTGGCCTTCCATCCTCGGCAGTGTCTGCCGCCGGACCCTCCTGCCACCGGGTGCCCCGGCCCTCCGCGGAGCTGCGTGGCTGGCTGGTGCCCGCCCCACCCTGGGGCGCAGCAGGAACGGAGGGCCAAGATGGCTGCCGGGGTGGGGCAGGCCCAGGCACCAGACAGATGAGCCCGGACAAGGGCAGGCACCAGGTCACACAGCCCTGTGAGCCACAGGCAGGAGCCAGGCTTTCTTTTAAGTCTTGTCATACTTAAAAGAAATGGGATGATGGGTTTGCATTTTCCAGTCCATCCATGCATCGACCCACCTATCCATCCAATCGTCCATCTTCACATCCGGCTGCTGTGTGGAGAATGGGGTATTCCCCCTGGTTCCACAGCCCCATTCCCAACTCACAGCGGGGCCCCACACTAGAGCTCTGACTCCCCACAGCCAAGCGGGTCAGTCTCAGTGAGAGGAGGAGGGGCGGTGAGAGTGATGTGAGTGTGTGTGTAAAAGTGCCCGGCGTGACTGTGTGTGAGAAGATGAGCGGAGGGGGTGTGCACCCAGAGTGCCAGCTCAGGAGCCAGGTGAGCAGACCCTGCTCCATGGGAACTTACCGCACCCCACAACCTGCTCCATAGGGAACTAGATGTCCCCTGTAATGAAATGCCTTTGACCTGCACCATGACCCTCGTGCAGGGGATTCTGTCTCCACTTTAACTCCTCAAAGAGTTCACAGAACGTGTCCAGGGCCACACAACGGCTTTGTGGGAAAGCCAAGATCAAAGTCCAGCACTGACAGACTCCCAGCCCAGTGCTCTTTCCCAACATTTCCTGGGCCTGGTTCTGAGCAAAACAGGAAACACTGAGAAGGTCCCCGGCATGAGGAGGAGTCTTGTATCCCCTGACCCAGGACAAGCCCTGACACACAGAAAATATTTGTTTCTCACTGAGAAAACATAGAATAGCCAAAATGAAACACCTCATGGCTAGGCATGGTGGTGCAGGCCTGTGATCCTAACACTCTGGGAGCCTGAGGTAGGAAGGTCACAAGACTGAGCCCAGCCTGGGCAGTTAGCAACTTAGCAGAGACACTGCCTCAAAACAAACAAAACAATGTTTTAAAGGGCTGGGATGTAACTCAATGCAAAGGCCCTGAATTCAATCCCCAGTACCACTAAAGCAAAACAAAAATGAAGACCTCATGTGAGCAGGAAATAGAGGCTCAGGGAGGCCAGGGAGGTGCTCAGAACCGCACAGCAAGTAGAAGTGACTAGAATTCTTTTAACCTCCAGAAATGGCATCAATGATTTTCATTTTCAAATCCATCTATCGATCTGTCACCAGCAGCGCAGCGATGACTATTTCTAGTCCAGGTCAGGGTTTGAGGAAAGATTTTCAAATAACAACTAAGGGGTTTCAGGGAGAGTCTGAGGCAAGACAGTCTCTGAAGACACACACACAGACGCGCCAGCACACAGCCACAGTGAGCACGTAGTCAAGTAACTGGGGCTCTGGTTCCAACTCTGCCACTCCTGCTGTGTGACTTTGGGTAAGTCATTCAGCCTCTCTGGGCCTCACTTTTCACCAGCCTTAAAGCAGAAGGAGTTAGCGCAGGTGAAGAGTAGGGACTGGCAAAGGCAGACCTCCTCCCAAGCCTCCTCCCAGCCTCAGATCAACATCGGTTCCCCACAGGGCCTGAGCCCTTTCTGCCTCTTCCCTCCTCCGGGACCAGGGCTGCATCTGCGCAGCCGCCGTGGAATGACAGTGAGTCCCTCCCGCACCCCTCTCCCCACCCTTGCTTGTCTTCCTGATGCCCAGGGAGAACGGCTTCATCAGCCCCATTTCACAGGTAGGAAAAGCAGGCAAGCGTCTTGCAGAGGCGCCTAAGAACAAAGCAGTCCGACTGCTCACCTTAGGCGAGCCGGGGACCCAGGGTGGCGGTCAGCTGGCTCGCAAAGTTTGGCTGGGGCCCCGCTGCGCCCGGGGGCTCGCCCTGCTCTCACCCCAGGAAAGGCTGGAAGTCTCCCCTCCTACGTACCCAGCGCACCACCGGGTCTCCCTCGTTTTCCACACGCAAAGCCTCCCTGCCTGTTGGGCTGGGGACGGTCCCGCCGCGGTCAGGGGCCCCGGCGGTACAGCAGCCCAGGACGCCGACCTTTGCATAACCGGGGCTCGGGGCCCCGGCCCCACTCCTGACCGGCGGGGAGACTGAGGCCCGCCGCCGGCGCCCTCCCGCCCCCTCTCACCGGCAGGACGGCGAAGGCCTTGAACGCCTGGTTCAGGCTGCGCACGAGCGCCCACTTGCCGGGCTGCGGGGCGCGCGCCTCGCCGGGGTCAGCGGGGCGCCCCGCGGCCTCCATGGCGCGCAGGACGGCTAGCAGCTCGGGCTCCCTAATTCACCTAATCCCGCGCGCGCCGCCCGCCCGCGCCCGGGAACCCTAAACCCGGCCATCTGCCACGGGCCCATGGCAACGGCGACTTAGGTGACGCCCGCGGGCGGGTGGGGAGGGGGCGAGCGGGCTGAGGATTCCGGGGGGCTTCCTGCGGCGGGGGCTTCCCTGGGGCCACAGCGCGTGGCCGTGGAGCTCAGCCTTGGGGCCCTGGGACAAGCGGCACCTGAAACCCCACCCAGAAAGCAGTTTTGAAGAAAATCAGCATATTTAATGGAAAGAAGCACAGGCATGTCAGGGAACAGAAGACAATAAACTGCGTTTGGGGGCTAAAGGAAGTGGATGTCTGTGCCGGGCCGGCCGACTCTGAAGACTGCAGACATAATATCTTCCTCTGAGGCAGCTTTGCGGGGAGAGCAGTGAGGAGGCTGTCTCCAGCCCTCCTCACCCAGCCCCAGGGTCAGCTGTGGGTGATATGCGGCAAGAGGAGCCGCAGAGGCCTGAGGGGGTCCCCTGGACACCCCCAGATACTGCGCCAATGGCGCAGCTCAGAGCTCACCCTGCAGTGGGCCAAGCCGTCTCCTGTGTCCTGGCATCCACGCTGGACTGGGCACCTAACTCCAGCGCTGTGAGCCAGAGGCCCCGCGCCATGCAGAGGGCCTTGTGACCTCCCACCCACCCTTCCAATATCTGTCCTCCTCCCTGCTTTCCTCCTTTGGCTCTCTTCTCCCTCAAGGCCTCCTGGCTCCCTTTTTAGCTCACTGCATTGTGTGGAATCCTGGAAACAACAGCAGGGAGCAGAGTGGAGAAAGGAAGGAAAGGAGACCTGCCTGCTGCCCGGACGCACAGATGCAGGCAGCCCAGCCTTGGGACCCAGGGCTCCGCCAGCCGGCGCAAAACTGACTGATGGCAGCGATCCCCACCCGCTTCTTGCACTCCTTTGGGACTTTGCTTTCAGGGGACCTCCCTCCTCCCCGAAAGCCCAGACCAAGCGCAGCCCTCAGGGCCTGCCTGCTCACTGCAGGGACCGGCTGCTCAGAGGCAGGAGAGCATGGTAGTGGGTTTGAGGTCATTTTCCACCTGCCCTTACAACCAGCCTTCACTGAGCATGGGCTC